CTGAGGAACCGGACATCGTCACACTATCCATGTTTATGATGAGAGAAGCTGACTGAGCATTAAGTCACGCTTATACGTCCGTCATACCGGTTAGGGAGTGCCCGCAAGAAAAGAGACGCCACCGTCGAGAAAAAAAATAATAACACGCCGCGCAGAGGATAGGCCCCGCGACGTGAAGACGTTCACCGCACGCACAAACAGTGATAGTGAAAGTGATAAAAAGTGTCTGTATTGTGGTGGTGAACATGAGATAGTAAAGTGTAAAAAGTTGACGCAGATGGACAGTGATAGCAGGTGGAAATGGGTGAAGGAATGGGGAGTGTGTTTCAAATGTTTAAGTAGTAAGCATCGGCGTCTTAAGTGCAAGTATAAGACATGCGGCGTTTGCTGTTGCTCCACGAAAAGAAGACCCAAGCCCCGGAAGCACCTGCCACCCCAGATGAAATAGTGCACGTTGTGTCTAACGTCTAACGGCTAACGATAAAACAGTGTTGTTAAAAGTGTGTCCTATAATAGTACGCGGACCGCGAGGTAAAGATATCGAAACCTACACGCTCCTCGACGAAGGGTCTACGATCTCGTTAATCGATAGTGAGTTAGCTCGTGAATTAGGTACGGAAGGGACGACGAGGCCACTGACTATACAGGGTTTATCGGATAGCCAACGAGAGGCTAATAGTCGCATAGTGAAAATAGGCATACGCGGTAAAACGAGAAACGAGTCGTATGTGATAAACGCTCGTACGATTAGTAACTTAAACGTAGGTTGGCAGGTAACTTAAACGTAGTGTTAGGGATCACAACGCGCGCGTTTATGCCGATACACATCCGCGTGCCCTCAACGCTATTATCAACAGTCATTACATAGATGACTAATTAGACGTTTAGACGTTACACGAGGCAACCGAGACGGCTAGGCAGGTCACCGAGGTACACAGCAAGGCAGGCTTTACGTTAGCAGGTTGGAATTCGAATCATGTAGCTTTGCTGAACGATAAACCGGAAGAGCTATTAGCACGTAAGCCCAAGGAGGTAGGCACAACACAGGACGGTCCCGGTCGGTCATTAGGTTTATTATGGATAGCGGAGAAAGACGTTTTAACGTTTAACACGCCTATGAATAGGGTGCCGTACGATGTTAAATTACTACACCACCCGACGATTAAGAAGGAGGCGCTGAGCGCGGTTATGTCTGTTTTCGATCCACTTGTGCTGCTCAGCTACCTCACCATTACCGCAAAGATTCTGCTACAAGACCTGTGGCAGATGAAGAGAATCGGTTGAGATGATGAGATTCCCGAGGAGGCCGCGGACGAATTTGCGAGATGGTTACGAGCCGTCGAGGATGTATCGCGGTTGTATCTCCCTCGGTGTTATGCTCCTATGAGGGGAGTAGTAGATCGTCAATTACATATTTTTAGTGACGCTAGTGAAAGTGCATACGCATCCGCAGCTTATTTGCGTATCCGTTATCGCGACGGTACGATAAGAGTCACGTTAGTAGCGGCCAAGGCGAAAGTCGCTCCGATTAAAAGTTAAAGCATACCGCGACTCTAATTACAGGCGAATTTCATAGGTGTACGACTTGCCGAATTCGTACAAAGCGCGCATAGGATGAGAGCGGATAGGGTAGTGTTCCGGATAGACTCTACGACGGCGCTCCATTGGATTAGAAATGACACGGCGCGTTACGCTCCATACGTCGCACATAGGCTCGGGGAGATAGGAGAGAAGTCATCACCCGACCAATGGAAGTGGGTACCAACGGCTCACAACGCAGCAGATGAAGCGACGCGAGCAAATTATGTAACAAATAGCGCAAACGATAAGTGGTTCACCGGACCGGACTTCTTGTATAAAGAAGGAGAATTGCCACAGCAACCAGAAGAAAGGGCAGGCGAGAAATATGAGGAAATCGTGGCGCACCAGCGAGAAATAAGGGGAGCACCACACCTGCCGGACATAAGGAGATTCTCTTCGAACGAGAAACTAATCAGAGCTACGGCACGAGTCATACAGTTTCTTTATTTATTTATTTAACAAGCACACTTACAATACACATATATGACAATCACGGAAACATACACATTTTTATAATCTCTGATACGTATATCCATAACAAGTGTACATAACATTCACAAATAGAGTCGTGCAATTTTGGGTTAATTTGGAATACAAATATCATCCGAGCAAATTAGAACTATATTCAAATAAATTATGTACTTAAATAAGAAAAATTTAAAGATAAAAAACAGATTTAATTATTAAAAGGGAATATGGTAGGTATTATACTCTCCTCAGGAGTGTGTATATTTTTAAGTTAAGTATAAGATTCACACACACAGTTCGTCGACATGCTTCGGGGACGAGCTAAGGACTTAACGTTAGAACACATTAAAAAGGCAGAGCAGCTATGGGTAGCGCAGAGTCAGCAGGAGAGTTTTGCTGATGACATCGCCCGGCTCTACCAAGGAAGAGACTTACATAACGGCAGCGCACTAAAAAAGGCTCAACCCGGTCATCAAACGAGGGACACTGAGAGCAAGAGGTAAAATCGACGCGGCCGCTGTGGAAGATCAAACGAAACGACCGGTCATATTGAACAGCAGATACCGGTTCGTACAAATGGTCGTGGAGAAGGCACACTAGGACAAACGGTTAGGGAAATCGAGAAGAGGTGTATGCGATGTCGTCTTAGAAAAGCTACACCATGACCGGTGGTAACAGGAGGCTTGTCTCCCGAGAGATTAAGAGCATTCAAACGACCGGTCACGTATACTGGATTAGATTATTTCGGGTCGGTAACTGTGACGGTATAGGGCGACGGCATGAGAAGAGATGGGTTGCGTTATTCACCTGTCTTACGACGCGCGCGATACACGTAGAATTTGTAGAATGCTTAACCACGAACTCGGCAATCATGGCGCTTAGGCGTATGGCGGCTAGGCGCGGGTGTCCTTGGGTAATCTACTCGGACAATGGCACCAATTTCCACGGAGCAGACACCGAATTACGACAGGCCATGGAGGAGTGGGCACCGCAGCTGAAGGACTTCGCGCTTACTCATCGGACGGAGTGGAAGTTCATTGCATCGGGTGCGCCCAACCAGGCATGGGAGCGATTGGTGCGTTCCATCAAGGCAGCGCTCGAGGCTACTCTTCATCAAAAGAGTCCCAAGGAAGAAACACTCATAACGCTATTGGTAGAGGCGGAGAATACGGTAAACTCACTCACGTGCCAGTAGGGATAACGACGAGGAAGCCCTGACTCCCAACCACTTTCTTCTGTTGGGACCATCTAACATGCCAGTCACCGCGACGTGTTCATTGGCGGATCGACGGACCTGGAGGGCTGCGCAAGGACTGGCCGACGAGTACTGGTGACGCTGGGTGCGCGAGTACCTACCGACCCTGGTGCTCAGAGGGGAATCCAGGAATGCCCAGCAGCCCCAGATTAAAGAAGACGACCTTGTTATCATAGCAGACGGCAACCTCCCGAGGAACGTGTCGCCAAGAGGAGGCGTCACAAGGACCTTTCCCGGACTAGATGGAGTGGTGCGGAACGTTGAGGTCAGGATGAGAGGCGGCTTGCTGAGGAGGCTGGTCAGGAAGATCGCCGTCCTCTCGAGAGAAGAGAGCTCGTGAACTACGCTGGGGGGAGGATGTTGCGGACGGCGAAGAGGTGATCGTCCGTCACCCCGCATCGCACCCACATCGACACGTCCCCCGCACCCCGCATCAGAACAACGGTCCCACAAGGACAATCGATCGCACCAACTCGGTGCCTACGTCACACCGACTGCCGAAATAAAAGAAGCGCTCCTGACGAGGTTTCGTCATTCGTGCGGATTCAAGCGGCTAAGACGGAAGAACAAGCAAGAAAGAAGCCCTCAAGGTCCCTATTAGATTTTAGTATTAACTGCCGCGCAATCAACTGTACATAGTGATTAAATTATAGTTGTTTGATTTCAACTCAACCCCTTGCAAGTTTAAATAGCAATTTTCGTTTAAAAGTAATTAGTCAGACAGATGTCACAGTTATAGTTTAATAGTTCAGTTTTAATAGTCCTCATCCCCTACAACCACACTTAGCTTTTTTGGCACTCCTACTCATTTTGAACACGTACTAATAGCAATCTGTCTTAAATGCATATAGGTAGCTAAATACAAACAACTCAATTAAATACTTAATTTGAAATGGATGATACATCCCCTTAACCTATCTTAACTTGGGTTTTTTACTCGAGTCGGTATAGGCCACTCGAGTGGTTTGAGTCATTCGAGTTGACTCGAGTCGCTCGTAATCCGAGTTGTCATAAATATTACTTGAGTGTGAGTATGGAAACAATACTCATGTGACTCGAGTGAAATACGGCCCAAGTCCCATCACTAAGCTTTGTGATTTGGGATGATAAGCGATAAGGCGATATCACAAACACAAACTAAGAAAGGCGAGATGCGTACCTAGTAGTAGTAGGATTCTCTCATCTCTGTCTACGGCGAGATGCTTCCTTCTAGTGCTATAATATACCATATTTATTTATCTATGTAATATACTCTCCGTCTCCGCTAAGAGTAATAGAATAGTGTTCTGGGCTATATACGCACAGACTACTAAGAGGATACTACGCATTATATACGCGTGTATCTAGTTAGTTTGTGGTGCTATAATTAGTACAATATTTGTTTATTTGATGAAATTGGCTGAAATCCTGCTGAAATCAGTATAGGTTAGGAACATAAAGCAATAATTTTCTTACGTTATCAGTAACAGACTTAGATGAAGTAAAAACATTTTAATATTTCTTAATAATTATAGTTCAGTAAGTTTTATTTTCTTTTAGTACAATTATGGATTATAAAATTTACAAGGAAATAAAATGTACATCTTGGTCTACATGTTCACCAGATATCATTCTTTTAATTTTTAAACGATTGGATTATAAAACATTGTTAACATGTTTTTCGGTGTGCAAGTTGTGGAGAGATGTTGTTGACTACATGGGGCAGGTATACCTATTAGAAAATAATTTCCAAGCTCAGGGTTTTAATATTCCATATTTTTATCAAACCATCATATCATTTATTTTTTAGGGTAACGGTGGTGCTTTATGGCAAAAACTAGCAGAAATTGGCTTGTACAATAAGGGTATTACTTTGAAACAGAAGTCCACTCTTAACTGGCGAGATGTCTACATCAATTCACTTCTGTGGCTAAATCACATGGACACTATTGATATTACACTTGTAGAAAGTATTAAAATACAGCATGTAAGGAATATCCATGTATACAAAGGTAAACATATATATAAATTATTTCTTACCTGATAGTGCTGTGGTGCCTCAGGGGATAAACACTTACTGTACTTTTCACTGTATGCAAGCAAATGAGTTTGATCCCCACCAGCACCAATAAAATTGTTAATTGCAGTTTTAAGTGCTGACTTACTACATGCTTGGCAGCGAAGGAAGAACATGGAATTGAGGAAAACTACAAGTCTGAAAAGTTAAATTTTAATAGTTGATGTGAAGTCTGCCAATATGCTTTGGAGCAACACCCAGACTAATTGTTCCATAACTCTTAATGGAGGGAGCTCTGTGGCCCACTCACTACTACACCCACTGGCCCTCTGTATTCTTACTTTACTCCCAAATTTGGTATATTAATAAATAAGAAATACCTGTTGATAATCGTTATTTATAATTCCAAGCTTGTATTGGAGTGAATTTAATTAGTGGGAGAGTGTATCACAGTTGCTATCACCTGAAATAGGCAATTTGATTGAGTCAGTTGTGTATATTGAATAAAAGTGTGTTAATGTGAGTGTAAAATTGTTTGTAGGATGATCTAGGAAGTGTTAGAAAGATTAAAACTACTTTTACGGATTTTATCGCGTTTTATTTATATTAATTTTAATACCCGACGTTTCGGATGCTTTCCAGCACCCATGGTCACGGGGGACTGAGGTGACTGACGTCCCGATGTCAGAGTTAACCAGGAGTACCTTCAGCTTTTTAATTATTGTCTTCGGTCCGATCTACGCAGAATGAACTAACTGTATTTTGAAGTCTTGAAGTGGTATTCTTGGGTGTAGTTTTAATTTTATTAATTATAGGATCCCAAGAAGGTGGTAGTATCCAGCCTCCTTTTCTATTGAAATTAGGATGTTTTTTAATTTCAATAGCCTCACGTATCATCCTTGGTAGGAATCGATGTTCTTTCGCGAGGACTTGTGGTCTATCAAATCTGATGTAATGGTTGGGGCCATCTAGAATATGATCGCAAACTGCAGACTTCCCGGAACGTTGATGCTTCATGTCAGTTATGTGTTCTTTTACGCGGGTTCTAATTGATCTCTTTGTTTGCCCTATATATGAGAGACCTCAATCACAATCAATCTTGTACACTCCTGCATCTTGTAGAGGAATATGACACTTGACGGATGGTAAGAACTGACTAATCTTCTTCGGCGGCTTGTAGAATGTTCTAATAGAAGCTCGCTTCAAGATGTAGCCAATCTTGTCTGTGACACCTCTGACATATGCTAGTATAGCAGGCACGAGCTCGACTGTGGCCGGCTTCACTCGGTCACTGTGACGGAGGCGCGGGACCTGAAGCTTGTTGTCGTGCAGAACCTGCTTGACGTGCTGAAGCTCGGCGGCCAGGTGTTTGCTGTCACAGATCCCTCGTGCTCTCTGAAACAAAGATTTGCCCACGGTAGCTAACTGTGAAGGATGATGGTGAGATTCACCATTTAAGTATTGGTTTGTATGGGTCTTTTTTCTATACACAGTATGACCTATGGTGTTGTTAGGATTTCGGATGACTAACACATCTAGGAAAGCTAAGGAATTATTTGCCTCTAACTCCATAGTAAATTGAATTTTAGGGTTTATGGAATTAAGATGTTCTAAAAATGCAGTTACTTTGTCTGATGGTAAAATTGTGAAAGTATCTTCTACATACCGCTTGTAGAACCTTGGGGTAACAGGTGCAGTAAGGAGGGCTTTCTCCTCAAAGTCTTCCATGAATATATCGGCGACAATGGGAGATACAGGTGAGCCCATCGCAACACCATTTACTTGCTTGTAAAACTCTTCCTTCCACAATATCATCCTGCATGTAGATGATTACTTAAAAGATTGTATAGATTACTTAAAAGATTTAGGGTCTTGAGTCTAATGGCAGCTAAAGTTGCTTCTTGTTGTATATGTAGATGAAGCAGTGTTAGCTCCAGCATACCCTCCAAAGCTGCTGTTGGTGTAGTTCTTATGCAGCCCGTGGCAGCCATAGAAGCCAATCTGTGGTAACGCTGAAGCTTTCGTATACGAAAGCTTCAGCTTCAGTTGGCTTCATTGGTTTTGGTCCACCATACCAGAGAGCCGTATGTGATCATGGGCCAAATTACAGTTTTGTACAGCCACAATATAATTTTTGGCGTTAAACCCCATCATTTGCCAGTCATATTTCTGCATGCCAGAAAGTTAAACTAGCGTTGCTGATTATGTTTTTTATGTGTTTGTTCCAGTTAAGTTTACTGTCCAAGGTAAGACCTAGGTATTTTACCTTGGAGGAAAGCTGGAGTTTTGTGCTGAAAAGACTTGGAAGATGATAGTTATTTAGCATTCGTTTTTGTGTGAACATTACTATAACCGTTATTTTTTTTGGATTAACAGTTGGGTCACATTCCCTGCACCATCTCTCCACAATACGGAGAGCCGCTTGGATCAGGTTGTACACAATGCTTGCTGTCTTACCAGATACCAGTATTGTCAGATCATTTGCATAACCGACAGTGTAGAAATGGTTAGTGTTTAATTTGCTGATGAGTTCATTAATGACCATATTCCACAGGAGAGGTGAAAGAACCCCACCCTGCAGGCATCCTTTCATGGTCTGAATTGTCTGAGATTCACCAGCAATCTCTATTGGTCGTGTACTGAGCATGTTTACTATCCAGTCAATCAGCGCCGGTTCAACATTATGTTTTTTTTTTTTTTTTTTTTTGCGCCCGAAGCAAATATGGGCAACCCTCCGGAAAGCGGGGGGAGGGAGGTTGAGAATGCTCATAGCATACCACGCAGCCGGCTGCGTGGTTATGTGGAGACTTTTACCCACTAAACTCAACCTTTTGGTAATTGGCTTAACGATCTGACTAGAGATCTCTAAGCCGTATACGAACGCGACCCTCCTTGGCAGAAAGGAGGGCGCAAGCGGCGTAAAGCCGCTTAGAAAAGTGCCTAACTAAGGCAGATTAATGGATGTGTTATGTAGGCTCGGCCCGAGCCGCCAGGAGGCAGTTCAGGTCAGCCGAAAGCTTGTTGGGGGGGGTCCGAGAGAGAGTTTCTCGGTCTGCGCACACTATAGCGAGTGTGGATAGGGGCTGCATAGGCAGCTGTCTCACGAATGAGATGATTTGGGTGGGACTCTGAGGCTTTGAAAAATCTCTCAGAGAGTGATTTGAGGAACTGCTGGATTGTTGGGAGCTCTAAGTCTCGATGTAGGTCGGCATTACGGACATAATAGGGCGAGTTAGTGGCCCTACGACAGAATAGATTTTGAACTATTTGAAGTTCATTGATAGCTTTAGGTTTAGCGTGTGCAAAAATGGGGGCCGCGTAGGTCATGACAGGTCGTATGCAGACCTTATATAGGGTTCGCTTGTTGCGGAGGGACATTTTACTGTGTCTGCCCAACATGCTGTTGAGCCTACCCATGTAAAAACGTGCGGTGCGAGTAACCTTCTTGATATGGGGCTCGAAAGTGAGCCTTGCATCAAGGGTGACGCCTAGGTATTTGGCTTTAGTTTGCCATGGGACAGGGGTTCCTAACATCCTGATTGGCGGAGTGGTGGTGAGACGGCGTCGTTTATATTCGAAGCAAACGGCGGAGCTTTTCTCCGGGTTTACGTCGATACGCCATTTTTGGAACCAAGCTCCTAAGTCGCTTACTGACTTTTGGATCTTGTTCCGAATCTGTGGTAGTGAGTTGCCTTTGGAGTAAAGGGCTGTGTCATCTGCAAAAAGGGCTAGTTTGACACCATTCGACGGAATAGGGATGTCGTTGGTGAATAGTATGTATAGGAGGGGAGCAAGCACAGAGCCTTGAGGGACACCGGCTTTTATTTGACGGGTAGAGGATAGCGTGCCTTCGTGTCTAAAACGAAAGGTACGATCCTTCAGATAGGAGGCTACAAGGCGAACGAGACGATCTGGGAGGCCTAAGTCGTACAGTTTGTAGATAAGGCCCTCGTGCCAGACTCTGTCGAATGCCTTGGCAGTGTCAAAGAAGACCGCGATGGTTTTTTGACGGCGAGGGTAAAAACCGCTGAGGATGTATTCCACTATGCGGTGAACTTGTTGGGGGCACGAGTGTTTGGCTCGAAACCCGAATTGTTGTGGGATGACAAGAGGGTCGCCGTCTGTGGGAAACAAATGGCGCCTCAAGCGCACGAGAATGACTCGTTCGAAAAGTTTGCCCATGGCCTTGAGGAGGCTGATGGGACGGTGATTGGAGGGGAGGTGGAGAGGTTTGCCTGGCTTGGGAATGCCAATGACAGTTGCCTCTTTCCAAGAGGTGGGAAAATAACTGAATTCGAAGCAGGCGTTAAAGATAATGGCCAGTAAGGCGATTACCTGCTCCGGGAAGTGTTTGAGGGCTTGGTTGGAGATACCATCCGCACCCGGTGCTTTTTTGGGCTTAAGTCCTTTGATGATAGATGAAATCTCATCTTTGGACACAGTGATAGGGTCAGAGGCGGTAGGGGGGCGAGTTCCTGCGTCGGACCTCGTCCTCCACTAGTTGAATGTGTAAGGGGTCAGTGGGTTGTGAGCTAGGAGAGCATTGAGCGGCAACGCTGTCCGCGAAGCACTCAGCTTTTTCTTCGTCTTCGAAGGCAATAGAGCCGTCGGGACGAGACAGAGGGGGGAGTATGGGTTATAGCGTCTATCCGGAGGGCTCTCGCCATCCGGTAGTACGCTGTGTGAGAGGGAGAGATTTTCTCCATGAGATTGCCCTTTTCGTGGTCTCTGTAGTCTTGGAGGCGGTAACGCAGTTTGCGTTGAAGGCGGTGGGCCGCGAGTCTATATTCAGGAGTGGGATAGCGTGCAGCTCTACGGAGGGCGGCTTTTTTGGCTTTTAACAGGTTGCTAATATCTAGGGGAAGACTAGTTTTTGCAACCGGGACAACTTTTTCATTCTCTTTAAGAGAGGATGTTATGAGTGAGGTGAGATTTTCGACCGCGGTGTCTATTTTCCCCGCACTGTCGAGGGCATCGGAAGAAAGGGTTATGGGAGGGTCCGGAGAGTCTATAGCCGAGGCTAGAGACTTTTTGAAGCCCTTCCAGTTGGTGTAGGTTTTGGAAGTGGGAGTTGGAGATGGCTGATGGCCAAGAAGGAGGGATACAGGACGGTGGTCGGATCCTAGATCGTCGAGAGGCTCGATTGCTCTAAGGTTAAGGGAAATTCCTTTAACTAGAGCAAAATCTAGCACATCAGGAGCGTAGGTAACAATGTCGGGATAGTGGGTGGCAGTGAGGGGGGCTGTAGACAGTTAGGTCGAGAGACTGAGTGATATTGAGCAGCACCCTGCCACTACTGGTAGTAGTTCGGCAGGCCCATTCAGTATGCTTGGAGTTAAAGTCTCCAAACATAATGACTGAGTCGCCTAATGCAAGGATAGCTTCGAAATCACTCTTGACGGGGAGGGTTCCGCTAGGGATATAGCAGGAGGCTAAAACGATTGACTGGTGTCCAGTCATGGCTAGTCTAGTGATAGTGGCTTCCATACTGGTAAGCGACGGAGTAGGTATGTGGGAGCAATGAAGGGACTTTTTGTGATAGATGGCAGTACCGCCGCCTTTGCGGTCGGGTCTATCGTTACGTATAAGTGAATAATTTTTAATAGTAAGGCCTTTAGAGACCTTGGGGCTGAGATGGGTCTCCTGTAGGAGTAAGAGATCGGCTTCGCGATCTCGTAGAAAAAGCCTAAGCTCCGGGAGGTTATTTCGCAGACCGCGGATATTGAATGAAACAAGCGACAAACCCTTTGGTTTGATACGACCGTGAGATATTGCGGGAGCAGAGGGCTCCGGCATAATTAAATTACAAGGACCTTAGAAGGTTGATGTGCTCGGTAAGAGCAAGGAGGCGGCCCTGAGGGGACTGAGCTGTGCTCAGTTTATCCGCAAGGATGAGGATTTCGTCCAAATTGATTCTATTGAGTGTGTTATACACTAGGTTTAGAGACTCTACAACAGAGTCTGTCTGTTTTTTTGGGTCGGCGGAGGGCCGCGGGATATTTGATTCCTTTTGGAACCAGGGGTTTATTGGGAGCGGCGCTGGCTGAGAGAGCGGGAGGCTCATAAGGGGCCGAGGAGGGCCCTGAGGTGGCCGATAGGGGCCCTGTGGGGGCCGATAGATGCCCTGTGTGGGCTGAGTTGAGCCCTGAGGGGGCTGAGGTAGGGGCTGGCCCTGGCTGGGCTTGCGGCTTACAAGAGCCGGGAAGGTTCGGTCATTGACCTGTGGTGGAGCTTTGCGGCTCGGAGGTGGGCGAGGGGCGCGAGGGCAACCTCTAAAATTGGCCGGATGGCCTGTTTGTCCGCAGAGGACACATGAGGGTGGGGATTCGGCGTTTTTGGGCCGTGGGCACTCTTTCGAGTGATGGGGTTCTAGGCACTTAATGCACCTGGGTGGAGCTGAGCAGTTGGCTGCCGCGTGTCCATAAAGTTGACAGCGGTGGCACTGCGCTGGGTAACCGCGCCGGTGAGGGGCTTCGACCTTAACACGCGACAGGCCGCACACAGTGCGTACCTCGCGGAAAATGGCCTTCGCCTCCGGCACATTGGTGAGAACGAGGAGGGCGAGGTTAAACCTTTCGCCCCTGCTGCTGTGCATTTTATGCACACCTTCAATGGGGAAGCCTTGGGATTTGAGGTCTTCCAGAATGTCTTCGTTTGCGAGTTCATAGGGAACTCCGCGGAGGACTGCCTTGATTTTCCTTTCTTCGGCAAGGGCGTATGTGTGGTAGGACACACGCTCGGCCGTGAATAGGCGGGTTATGTTTCGGAAGTCTTCTATAGACGCCGGTATAATTTTGATGGCCTCGCCGACATTAGTGGCTTGGTCGTATTTGAAACCCTTATCGTAGAGGGTTTTGGACAATTGAGTAAATTTCGCCTTGTCTCTGAGAAAGACAGGGGGCGGGACTTGGTTTTTGGCCAGTTCGGGAGCGCAGCGGGTTGCTGGCTTGGCGGTATTGTCTTTCGACTGTGAGGCGGCAGCATTTGGGGCTGCGGAAGTAGGGGCAACGATGGGAGCTGCGGAGGTAGAGGCAGCGGCGGAGGGAGTGCGGGCGGCGGCGGCCGCTGAGGCGGGGGGAGTGCGAGAAGTGGCAGCGCGTTTCGGGCCGCGCTTGGATTTCACTAACGTGAATTCGGCTTGGGAGTCGGTTATGGTTCCTTCGGAGTCGGAAGAATCCGAGGAGCCGGTGGAGCTGAGGGCGGTCCTCTTCCGGGAGGATGAGGTAACGGACGTGGCGTCCGAGTGCTCCATATCGGAGTCGGGGGGACGCGGGTGAGTCGGACTGCGGGGCAGACGCTTGGGTCGCGAGGAAAGCAGCGACGGCGGGCGGGGGGTACACATGCCTTAGGGGCAGCGGGGGGGAAAATGGCTTTGGCGAGAAGGGTCTCGTCAATTTGGGCGGTTGTAGGTATTCCTGCGGCTTGGATCATTTGTACGATCGTGGCCGCAACCTGGCTTATGAGTGAGCTTATGTCTATGGAAGACATGTTGACGGGGGGGGTGACGTTTAGTTCTAAGAAAACTGGAGGTCCCTGTTCTGAGAAGAACAGGGCCTTAGGGGCAGATGGGGAGGACTGACGATCTATTCCCAGAAGCTGGGGTCCCTATGTTCTGAAAAAGAACAAGGGCTCGCTCTGAGAAGAGCAAGAGACGATCTACTCTAAGAACAGTATATACACAGTAACAATATAACAAAAACAATAACAGAAAAATTAAAAATAAAAATTAAAAATAATAAAACAAAAACAAAACAAGCGAAGCGCGCTCGAGCCTCCCCGCCGGAGCAAGGGGGCAAGAACGATGCAAAAACAAAGTGACTCACCAACGGCGTCTGCTCGGCCGGTGTTAGCCGGGGAGAGCGGGGCGCGCGGGCAAGCGGTTGCGCTACCGAAGGGTCGGAGGCGCGAAAGAACTGTGTGCACGACCGCTCGGGGGCGGCGCGCAAACGGAACTTACCGAAACGAAATTCATAGCATTTGTAAGAGAGTGAGAGAGAGTGAGATGTGGAAATAATTATATCTATGCGACCACACTCGAGGTTATTAAATTGGTTCACCGTTTCCGAGAAATCGGTGAACTTACATAAAGTAAAACATACGCGTCGAATATAGAATCTATTTTGATAAAAATCTGTTTATAACTTTATATTACAATTAACAATTTGATTAGTGCAGGCGGGATCGAACTCTGGTTTCTTGCTTATATAAAATTTAATGCTAACGTTTAGTCCCCGAACTATTACGGCTCCATCTCTAGGTATGTGCCCTAAAGTTATATCGTTGTAAATCAACCACCAATAAACTATGCATTCGCCACTCCAATTTCGATTCATTGCTAGACCTAAAAAACAATAATATTAAGACCTTGTTTTTTTTTGTTACAGGTAATATTATTGTTGTCGGCGATTCAGATGTGAAGTTTTACAATGTTCACACTTTTGAAGTTAGAAAAATTTTACAAAAATCATGTAAGTACGTACCTTGCTTCTCATTTAAAACAAAATGTGAAATAATGGATTTATATTTGTAAAAAAAAACATAAGATTTACTCATCATCATACCTATTATTGCTTACACATTTTATTTAGTATGAATGAACATTCGAATTATGTTATAATTTGCCGACTGAAAAGTTAATATTACAATGCAAATTCTGCAATATTATGCTTAATATTATATGTCTAATGTATATAGGGCATCAAAAAATTCGAAATTTTGAAAAATACCACTGCGCTAGTCTACTTATTAAATACTATCAGCGCCCCGCGGTCTCACTTGCGGTTATGACGCCTCTAAACCTCTAATTCGCGTAGTGTATATTTTCTTTGCCTCTAAGCCGCGCGACGTGACACCTCGTTATATATCCCCATGAATCTAACTATTAATATGCAAAAATAATTTTTCAAATAGGTCTGGTAGTTTCAGAGATTAGTGTGTAAACAAACAAAAAAATTCTTCCGCTTTATTATATTAGTACGCATGTACGAGTACAATCCCTGGCCAAATTATTAGACGTACTATAAAATTCTATGTAAAATCTTAATTATCAGGTGATGTTATACAGCTTTCTTGTTTTTACTAGTTACAATGTATATTTTCTTATTATCCACCTTATTATCCACTTTTAACACAAATAAAACATCATAGTTATAGAAAAAATATAAGTTTATGAACTCTTGAAAAATATTGAAATCAATGCAATAAAATATAAATATTTTGTGAAGCTACATTTAGTCGCTATGAGAGCTTGAATTCTACGCGGCATGCTAATGCTAGACTGCAAAGTCTCCTGCATTTAAGGATCATGATTCATTCATATAATGATCTCTTCTAAGAGTTGAATTTTGTTTCTGAAAATTTCTCTCTTCATCAGCCCCCACACGTTTTCAATAGGATTCATATCTGGGCTATTACCCGGCCAATCCAACAGGAGGGATATTTTACTCTTCCAAAAAACTTTAACAGACTGTGCTGTGTGACAGGGAGCTCCATCTTGCATAAAACTGAATGGTTCCCATTCGGAAACCATTCTCTGAGCTGCGGCATCAACCGACTTTGTAAGACTTCTTTGTAGTGATCTTGCCTCATTATACTTTTTACCACGTACAGACGTCCAGTGCCCTTGCCGCTGATGACTGACCAGATCATCACTTTTGTACACTTCTTTCTACACTTGACGGTCTGAACGACAGTCAATATGAAACTTTTCTCCATGACGACGACGCACAAACAGAGCTTTATTCTGCAAAATTTCAAATGTGCTTTCATCGCTGAAGCAGACCTGTCAAGGATAGCAACAATTAATAAACATGCTAAACATCTGTGCCGGTCCTTCTTTATTTTATGGAAATTGATATTATACCTACTTACCGATCTCCAGAAGTCCTCATCTTTATCACGCCACTGTTTGGCCCACTACAGACATTTTACGTTCATTGCAGCTGTTTACTTTGGCTTCCTGACGGGGCGGCAGGTCTTGAAATCTAGATATTTTAATTTTCTACCAACAGTGCGCTCAGGAATATTCACATTAGCATCTTGGAGTTGCAATTTTATCAGTTTTATGCTTGCATAACTGTTTTCTGTCGCGAGAGTAAAAATAGGCTTTCTGCCGCAAATTTTCTTTCGTTTCGGGGTAAATTCCTCTCCAGACTCAATATTCTTCTTTATGCGTCGTACGCTAGCTTCAGAAACCTTCAATATTGGTGATATTTCGCGGTTAGAAAATATTTTAGCATTTACGAGGGCCTTTACTTCAGCTTTTATACGTCGTGAAAGATCGCCTTTTTTACCCATGATAAAAATGTTCCAATTGGTTATTTAAACACTGTACACAAAATAAACATATAACTACATAGTATAAAACTGAAAAAAAAAGAAACACAGCGCATAAAGCCACAGAAATTCGTCCACAATTGAAATACGCGAGTACGCGACTGAAACGGATTTGTACACGTTTACGTTAAAAAAAAGAAAGACTAACAGATAATTACCGGGTACTGGTGCTTTGGTGATTATCTGTGTAAGATCGCACGCGACGCGACGGCAAACCGCTTCCATTGCGCTGACGGAACCAGAACTTCGCTCACCCATACGCCCGCGGTATGGCCTGCGTGGAGGGCATACCTTAAAACAACTGGAGCGGACGATCCTGGTGAGCCGGACCGGATCGATGATAGATGTCGGTGTTAATTGGCCATAACTTGGTTTAAATGTATAAAAAACATACATATAAAAAACTGCAGACTTCATTTCACACATTGTTATTGAAAAGGAACTCAGGTTCGGGCGTCCTCTCAATCGGCCGCGAAGGACCAATTGAAAAGGACCAGGTAGGTGTCCCTCTTGATCCTGAAAAGGACCAATTGAAAAGGACCTAGCGGATCGGGTACTAAGAAACAGGAATCGAGGCTTCTCTCGATCCGGCCTCCTATCACGCCTACGTTGGGTTCGGGAACAACGTATGTGATCTCCGCAACGGAGTAACACACTAGGGCGATAACCTCTTCCTTTTCAGCAAGTAGGTTCAGACGGGGATTACGGGTCTTCCGAAGTCGTCCCGGTCCCGACGCCTTAATTCTTCGATGTGGACTGTATAACTTAAAGGATCTTGGGAATGAAACAGCAATTATCTTCAAACCGTTCCGTGAGAGAGTAATCACTTTTCCCTATACTGCTGGTTTTTCACTTTTCTTGAACTTTTTCCCGGATTTTCTTATTTATTTCCGAACTATTTCCGAACTTCCCCGAAGGATTCCCGAACTTTTTGCAATAAAATCAATTTACTATCCTACCCCTAAGCTAAACGCGAAAGAGAGCCGCGCCATCTGCGCGCTTGCGCAACTTAATTACATGAATTTGTACTATTACTCTCTCACGTTTCACTCAATATCTTTATTTATTCAAATCATATACAAATACAATTTATCAATATAGGTAGTACAAAACAATATCTACACCATGATATACATCATATCCTCATATCATAAAAAACCTTTTATTTATTAAACGAAAACTGCCTATTTTACTCACAAGTTCGAAATCGAAATTTCTTAAATATTTAACACAGAAAGTTAAAACAATGTTTCTCACTTGAATTTATATATAAGCTAACCAATACAATAGTTTAATTTACATTTTTTCTATTTATTTCACTATTTAAAACACTTTTAAATTTCTTATACAAAACTATCATTATTTCACTTATACACAGGAATTTTCACATGAAAATAACACAGAATTTACCTTTTTAGCACGTACAATTAACCTGAAATATTTTACAAGTAATTTTTACATAAATCACTGAATTACAAACATTTTAAATTTTACATATTCGGCCTCCTAAGGGCGTGGCCAGCGTGCTTCCGTGTACTCACGCTATGTGAACAACTAACTTTGCACGGCTCTCGGCTATCAGAAAAAATTAAATTATGAAATACACCAATTTTGACCATATTAGGCAAATTAAATGCTTTTATACAATTTTCGAACTGTATGAAACTATCTTTAATCAGATAACAATATAAATGAATGTTCTCATTAATCAATCATAACAAATAGGCATTTGTTTTCGTACAAAACGTATCAAACTTATACAAAACAACATTTATGCAATTAATATCCATTAATTCTGCCTATGCACAGAGTGATTATCTCGACCGGGGAACAAATCCGATCTTTAACTTCACTTTAATATTCTTATGAATTTACATCATTTGAAAGATGATTTCAACCGGGGAACAAATCCGGTAACATAATTTATATCTTAAATTCCTTACGAATTTATTAAGCGATATTACTTAGGAAAACAAACAAACTAGTCCGGCCTGGGAGTCGAACCCAAGACCTTCATATCATTAATTCGACATTTCTTAAAGATTTAACTAAGCATTCTCTTATCAGAGCGTCGTTGCTCGTGACTGCCCCTTTTTTCATAGCAACGTCATCGGTTGATTTAATAAACTGAAACATTTTTATAGGCGCGTCGCCAACAGTTATCATATCCTAGATGGCCCCAACCATTACATTAAATTTGATAGATCACAAATCCTCACGAAAGAACATCGATTCCTTCCAAGGATGATACGTGAGGCTATTGAAATTAAAAAAAAAACATCCTAATTTCAATAGAGAAAGAGGCTGGGTACTACTTGCTTGGGACCCTATAATCAATAAAATAAAACTAAACCCAAGCGTACCACTGCAATACTTCAAAACACAGTTAGTTCATTCTGCATAGATAGGACCAAATACAGTAATTAAAAAGCTGAAGGTACTCCGGGTTAACTTGGCATCGGGACGTCAGTCACCTCAGTCCCCCGTCACCATGGGTGCTGGAAAGCACCCGAAACGTCGGATATTAAAAATAAAATAAATAAAACGCGATAAAATCCGTAAAAGTAGTTTTAATTAATATGTAGTGTTCGCGTAAATATAAGAAATCATTAAGTTCCTTTTGTGTTTTTTTTTTCAATTCTCACACTGTCATACGATTCTGAGCTATGTAGGCATGGACAAGTGAAAAAAATATCGATAAATCGTCATGTATTGCGTGATGTAGTAGGAAAAAGCCCGAAAACTTAGAAGGTAAGACTTAAAAGGACAAATAGATGACGAAAAACACGACAACATCACATGGCTTTTGTTGCTTAATGTTTTGTCCATTAATTAAAATATATTGAAATTGATACGAATTAGATACTCTAAAATAAATATCGAATATTGGTATTTCGCGATTAAAAATATCGACGATAGATATCTTTTTTTTTTGGAGAATATATCGATTATTTTATTCAAGCTTAGATAGAGCTATGTTCAACATTTCAAGTCTCTAGCTCGTCGGGAATAGATATAGGTTCACGTAAGCGAATTAACTTAGTAAAAAGGGTCTACCGCAGCTTGCAACCCACTTCCAGGAAATAACCATTTGTTATTGTCACCTACTCGTATGACTATGAAAGACTAAGGTGAAATGTCTTACCAGAATGTGGGTTTTGTAGTTTTTATTTCAATGACTCCGAGACACCTTTACTTGAGATGAGTGTGAAAAAACTACGAGCGTGTAATTTTTTTTATTAATAAAACAAAATATTTTCAGGTATCGATTATCAAGAAAGTGATCACATTACCGTAGAGCGTAATGAAAGAAATATTTCTGTCGGTTTAAAACATAATATGACAGGATTCACCTTTAAGGGACTTTTTTTTAAGTAAGTATATATCTAAGTAAGATTCTAAAATATTTTTCACGTTAAGTTAACACGCTACGGAAGCTTAAAAAATAAACATTTAATTTCATTTCAAAATTAATGATGTGTGCTTCAAGTCCAGATTTTTTTTATAGGAGAGAATGGCAAACGAGCACACGGTCCACCTGATGAAAAGTGGTTGCTGTGGCCCATAGACATCTATCCTCGATTACGAATCAAAATGCGGATGCGTTGTCACCGGTGAGGAACAAGATGGAATGCCTCGTTTCTAGTAAAAATGGTTCTCTGGTTCTCTACACTCACCATACGAAACACAGCAGCGTTAAGCTACTATTTTACGCTGGTATTCTTTTTTATTTTTTTATAGGATAAGGGTGACAAACGAGAACACAGTCCACCTGATGCTAAGTGGTTGATGTGGCCCATAGACAACTACGTCTATCCTCGATTAAGGGTTAAAATACAGGTGCGTTGTCACCCGTGAAGACTAAGATGGAATGCCTCATTTCCTGTAAAAAGTGTCTGCGGTTCTCTACACTCACCATACGAAACACAGCAGCGTTAAGCTGCTATTTTACCCTGGTATTCTGTGAGATCGTGGTCCTTCCCCAGTCGAGCTGACCCATTCGCAGTGCCGGATTAAGCAGGCGCAGGGCCTGTAGCAAATTCTATCGAGGGGCCCTTAATCTGCTATGGATTCTTAAGTATAAAGTGGTAAAAAACAATTAAATACTCAATACGTTTATTTACCATCTATAGGCTACAATTTTTTTGGTGTTTAGTAATATACAGTAGTTTACTATAGGCCCTGCTAGACTCTGACAGGTACAAAAAGTCAGAAATGAGATTGTCCTTTCAATTTAGAATGATTTTGGTAAGAAACTAATGATTTAAAACCATAGAATACTTATAATATAAACATAATAGAACGGGGGACTGGGCGGAGCCCGTGTAGCCACTAAAATGCCACTAACACGTCAATTCACACGTATAAATGTCAACAGGAGATGTGTTTTGACGTTACAATCGTTTCGAAATAATACTAGTTTTTACGGAATTTATCGCGTATATTTAACTTTTTAATTACCCGACGTTTCGAACGCTTTACAGCACTCATGGTCACGGGCAGGACTGAGATGTTCAACGTCCATATGTCATAGTTAACCGCGGTTACCATAGATTAAAATTTAACTTTTGTTCCGATCTATGCAGTATGAACTTATGGTATCTTGAAGTCTTGCAGTTGTATGCTTGAGTTGGGATTTAATTTTATTTATTATAGGATCCCAAGCAGATGGTAGCACCCAGCCATCTTCTATACCTACCTTGGTACCTTAGGGATCACCAGCTTATTAGTGACCGCCAGTCCGGTTTCCGTCGGGTTGCTCGGCTGGTGATCTTCTGGGTTACCTAACTCATAAATGGGTGAAGGCAGTAGAGTCCAAGAGGGAGGTGATGGCCGTTAATTTGGACATAGCGAAGGCGTTCGATCGAGTTTGGCACCGAGAAATTGTGCAGTTGGATCACCAGTTTTCTTGCAGATCGGAGCATCAAGGTCTTAGTAGACGGTGCATTCTCCGATTACATTAACGCAGGTGTTCCACAAGGCTGCGTGCTATCACCAACGCTGTTTCTACTGCATATAAATGATTTGTTGCAAACCGGTAACATTCATTGCTATGCGGACGACAGTACTGGTGATGCTTTATACACCGACCGTACCAATATTTCTCGGAAAACTTCGTCGAGTACCGGGACAAACTTGTGTCTGAAGTCGAGACTTTGTTGAACAAAGTCTCGGACTAGGGGCGACTAAATCTAGTCCCGTTTAATCTTCAGAAATCACAAGTTTGCGCGTTTATCTCTAAAAAGAACGAATGTATGTGGAATTCCGTATGAATGTGGTCGGTCTAATACAAAGAAAACTGTGATTTTAGCGTCAATATTATTGCATCTGCAAATACAAAAAAGGGAGAGGAATGTTTTTTAGTAAACGCCGGCCTTACACGCAGTTGTTTTTTTTTAATTACTGTTTTAACCAATTAACTTGTTTCAATTGAAAATGTTTTGGCAGGCTAATAGACGATCGCTGTTACATAGTAGACGACAATTGTGTGCTCTGGCGTATTACGTGCTGCAATAAGAAAGAAATCAACTCTCTACTACGGACCTATGGTGGCAACGAATCAATTGTCGATATCAATATTTATGAAAATGACGTATTCGTTTTAATGAGAAATGGCATAGTATACCATGGGACCGGAACATGCACGGAGTTTGAGATGGTCCGCGATTTGAACACATCGGACTTTTACAAGTGCCCCGTGTTGGCTATGTTTCAAAAGTTTAGTGTTGCATATAGCCGTGAGTTTTTTTTTATTTATAAATGTTAGTTTCATTATTTCTTTAATAAGTCTTAGTTTTTATTGTTACCCTAATGAGTCTTTTGCGGTGTACCTATGCTAATCTGCTGTTATGTAAGTAGAAAGTCATCGCATATTACTTCTTTTTTGTTTTCGCATTGTTTGTTCACTAGATACTATGTGGTCTGAAAGCCCCAGGCAAAAAACGTTAAATAAAAGAAAGCTAAAAATATTACTATTACATTGTTGAAACATCACTCTCAGTTCACTGATGTTGGGACTTCGGTGGTATTTAGCTTGTTCAGTTAATACTAATTAGATATGATGCATAATTGGATGACAATTTTTAATAGTACTTTCTAGATGATAATGATGATGATGGTGGTGGTAATGATGAACGATTCGACCATGTATATTTAATTAAGAATGAAAATAAAAATGCGTTGTCATCCTTAAGGACTAAGATGAAATGCCTCATTAGGTACTAGGCATGAGTCCGATATATCAAAACGTAATATAACATATCGTATCGATTTGCTGTACAAAGAAAACGGTTTTCCCAAAAACACTCAAACGATATGAATCCAAACGCAACACAGGCAATGTAACTATCATTCTACTAGAATAACACTAAAAAAACTAACTAAACTCTCTTTGTAACTGATGACTCTGCCAATGAAAACGAGATGAAGCGAATAACTGCCGGACTCGACCGCGTTCATCGTTAGCTATTTAGTTGTTTGATTACCAACGTAAATAAAAACGCCAAAACTTTAAGCTGTTATTTTAAATTAAACTTTCTCCGCATGCTGATTTCTTATTAATTAGTTTCTTTTGCATACTGTAGAAACGGTAATAGACTTGTGTTTCATATCGATATCTAAAAACTGCTTTTCATATCGATATGAAAACTTATATTAATTATATATACAACATGTAACATAATTAACGCACTTTGAGAAAGTAGTTTGTTCAGAATCGTTTACTGAATCGATTCCTATTATTTTTAATATACGTAATTTTTTATCCCAAAAATAATTAAAGCTACGTAAATTACAGTCACACTAAATCTGTACAGTCAAAAGAAACTGAAATGGACCGTAACTTAAGGCAATAAGACTTTTAAGGGTGCAGTTTTATTTGTATTATTACTAATGCTGTCATTCAATAAAAATAAAGAAAAATGAACTTTATTTCAAGCACGTTATAAAGTCTTTGCGTTCGTGGATTTGTACTGTGACCACAACATTCTTCCGGAATTAGTATAACTAATTTGATAAATAATCAGTTCATATTTTTTTTAAACTAAAATTCAGTGTATGTATTATGGTTATAACATAATATACTAATTGGGGTGTCTGAGGGTGTGCGTTAATTACGTTACATATTGTATATATCCGTTATTATAAAAACTGATAACTCCCATGTCTACTCATTACCCGTAATAACTAATAATGGCTTCTGGTTCTCTACACTTACCATACAGTAGACAATAGCTAATTTACACAAAATTATTTATTTATTTATGCTTTATTTGCACACCAAGTACAAAAAGGTGGACTTAATGCAACAAGGCATTTTCTACCAGTCTACCTCCAGGCTAAGCAGAGAAGATATTGTGGGTGCAAAGTGCAACTGAGTTCAAATATCTGTAAATAGTCATACACATTACATATTGCGACACATGTTATAAACATAATTACACATAATTCTCAATTAAACACCTATAAAATATTTGAAATTAAAACAGAAAAAGGGAACAGTTAGAATTTAAGAATATAAAAAGAGTTAATTCACAAACTACTCCTGCAACGCCAGAAAGGGATTCGAGAGCATGCGTTTGAACGATGCCTTGCTCGTGGCTGCACGTACACTGCTCGGTAGCTCGTTCCACAATCTTACTGCATGAGACGTAAAAGATTTATACTAGAAGCTAGTATGACAGAGGGGGACATGGAGATTAGACTTTTCCGCAGAACGGAAACAACGATTATGAGAATCACGTTGATACTGAAATTTACATTTCAGATATTCAGGGACAAACGGATCGTGTAAAACTGAAAATAATGTGCATAGTATCCTGAAATGTTTGCGATAGTTGAGAGGTAGCCATCTAAGCTGAGAATGATAGAGGAGATGTGGTCATATTTACGTAAACCTAAAATGAAGCGTATACAATTATTAAGAAGTCGATCCAGTATGTTTAGAAGTTCTTGAGAGGCATCAACATTGCAAACATCTGCATAATCCAAAATAGGCAACACTAGAGCTTGTATTAGCATGGCCTTAGTCCCTATCGGTAAAACATTCTTGAGACGATACAGATAACGCAGTGTGAGTGACCTTTTTGCTCACGTCATATATATGCGGTCGCCAACTAAGGGTGTTGTCAATAACTAAGCCAAGATTTTTAACAGTTGTTGAGTAAGGAATAGTAACATTATTAAAAATTATAGGAGGAAGCGCCGTCATATCAATTTTAGACAATCTACGAACACTACCCACCACAATAGCCTGATATTTTGATGGTTTAACTCTAATATCAAATCTGTCTGACCAATAATAAATACAGTTAAGATCGCAGTTAAGCTTCTTAATCACATCATCGATACCTGCCACCTCAGTTTGACCATAAATTTGTAGGTCATCAGCATACAGATGGTACGAACAGCGAATGTGGGATGCAATGAGATTTATAAAAGCAGAACAGGAGAGGAGAGAGAATTCCGCCTTGAGGAACGCCAGCAGACAACGAGCACCAATCAGAGACGAAATGACCTACTCGAATAGCCTGCTGACGACCCCGAAGATTCGAGGAGAACCAGTCCCGCGCTGACGAAGAGAAACCCAGGTGACAAAGTACAGCTAGGAGAATATCATGATCGACAGCGTTAAAAGCGTTAGAGAAATCTATTAGGACTAACACAGTCAATTGTGAGTTCTCCATTCCGGTACGAAAATCTTCTGTAACTTTTAAAAGAGCTGTGGTTGTACTGTGCCCACGCCTAAAACCAGATTGAAATGTGCTAAAAAAGTTATTTTTGAAAATGTAACAAGAAATTTGTTTGTGGACAATAGCTTCAAGAACTTTAGATAAAAGAGGGAGAATAGATATTGGGCGAAAGTGAGAGAAAGAACTGGGGTTATTTATTTTGGGAAACGGAATAACAAATGTTTTTTTCCGAAGTGTAGGAAAATCCTCAGTCAATAGTGAATGATTAATGATGTGAGTAATAACAGGAGTAACATCGTCTAGAATTAAGGTGATCATGATAGACTCATGATTGATTTACATCATCGAAGCCAACTACCATAGACTTAATGCAATAAATGGTCTTTTTAGGGTTCCGTAGTCAACTAGGAACCCTTATAGTTTCGCCATGTCTGTCTGTCCGTCTGTCCGTCCTCGCTTAATCTCTGTGACCGTTAGTACTAGAAAGCTGAAATTTGGTACCAATATGTGTATCAATCACGCCGACAAAGTGGTAAAAATAAAAATTGGAAAAATATGTTTTATTAGGGTAGCCCCCCTATATGTAAAGTGGGAAGTGATTTGTTTTTTTAATTTCAACCCTAACGTGTGATATGTTGTTGGAAAGGTATTTAAAAATGAATAGGGGTTTACTAAAATCATTTTCTGATAATGTCAATAATTTCGGAAATAATCGCTCCAAAAGTAAAAAACAATGTTTCCCCCCTCTAACTTTTGAACCATAAGTTTAGAAAATATGAAAAAATCTGAAAAGTAGAACTTTATAAGGACTTTCTAGGAAAATCATTTTGAACAGGGATGGAAACAACAGTTTTTGTACAAACTCATAAGTGGGAACACGTATTGTGACGGACGGGAAACTACGGAACCCTACACTGAGCATGGCCCGACACGCTCTTGGCCGGTTTTTTATATCCTCAAAAAATTAAATGTGCAGTTATGAGATTGTAGCATGGAATACAAATAAAAACAGTATATGAATAGAAATGATTGCAGGGTCCACGTTACATGTAGATTTACCGACCCCGATCGTCCGGAGAAATTTCCATGTATCAGCCATAGAAGAGTTCATGATATTATGGTGAAAATAGTGGAGTTTAGCGGCTCGTACCATCTGATTACATCGATTTCTCGCAGCTTTGAAGTTTGTCCAATTGAGTTCACAACGGTTCTGCTTGAATTTCCTAAACATCTGATCGCGCTTAGACATGGCCTTACGGATTTTTCAGTAAACCATGGCGCAGGCAGGCGTTTTAACCTAATCTCACGAATAGGTGTGTGTTTGTCAAACAGCTTATGAATATTAGAGTTAAATGTCGTAATCTTGTCATCAATACTCTGCGTTAAATGTATCGCTCCAGTCTAAAAGCGAAGCATCATGTTGGAGCGTTTCTACATTTAGCCTAGCAAAATTACGCAGACGTACTATTACTGGTTTTACTTTTGGAAATTTGATTTTATAGGAAATGAACAGTAAATCATGTCTCGAGAAACCAGGAGCAGGGAACTGTTCGTGGTAGGCAACACGCTCTTCTGAGCAGACTTATATTAAATCTAACAAAGTATCATCAGAGAATATATATCAAGATTGTGATGAGTGGTGTCAAGTGGAAGTATTGAAAAATTTGCCGATTCAATAATTGAACGCAGTCCACGCGATCTGGGAGTATCACTTAGAAGATTTGTATTAAAGTAATCGATTAAAATATGATGTTGATAATCAGAGCAAACCGAAAGAAGTGCCTATTCAAATTCACATAAATAACTAGAATTAGGTGGACAATAAATTGCACCAAGCATAACTTTATTTCCACTAATAACAATCTCTAAAAAAATATATTCAAATGATCCAGTACATTGTGAAGGTGAGGCTGATAAAATTTTGTAAGGAATACCACTTCGCAGGTATATTGCTACACCACCTCCTCTTTTATCAATGCGATCGTTACGAAGTAAAATAAAGCCTGGTAATTCGTAAGAAATAGAAGGCAAAGTTGGGTTTAACCAGATTTCCGAGATAAGTATCGCGTGGATGCTTTGATTATTAAAAGTTTCTAAATGTTCTAAAAGTGCTGCGGATTACTCTGGGCATAAATGTAGCAAACGTTGAAATTTTTATTATAATTATCGAATTTTTGGGTCAGGGGAGAACGAAGTGTAGGAAGTTTTAATTCAGAGTCAGAAAATGAATAAAAGCAATCAGAATTAGCAGAGGTGAATGAATCGTTATCAAAATTAGTGGTGAAGTGAGAGCTTTGTTATGATACCTGCATGTCTGAGAAATAAAAATACATAATTTGAGGACACACATACAGAAACGCTAGCACGGTTGACTCTCAGCCTATCAGAAATGGGGAAACCTTCACTATTCTCATTTTTCTTTATAAAGTTATTAATAATTAACAATATTAAAATTTAAAAGTTGTCGTTTGTCGGTTTCCAGAAGTTATGTAATATTATAACACATGTACTACACTCATATTGTTGAATAAAAATTCCCATGTTTCCAGTGCCCGTGCAAAATGGTTCAATCTCAGAGTCAGATGATGAGTTTTTAAAAACCGTTGACATGTCAGATGAAATATTGATGGCGTGTCCGGGTCTGTGTTGTGCAACGGCGCATGGAGACATTTTATTTCTTGGTTATGAAGACGGAAAGGTGTGTGGTAATATTTGTATTTTCAAATCGCTTTTACTTACAGCCGATGGATACCTACAACCAAACGCAAAAACTGCGAGCGCGTTCTCATTCGTGAGGACTAAGATGATATCCCTCATTGTTATAAACTGGTTCTCTTATGTTCAAATCAGAACCTATTCGGAGTCCTAGGTAGAACTATTGTAATACTACAAGTATAGGTATTAGAAAACCTAAGGGTACTAAAATTTTCGCTTTCGTAACCTAATATAGACTTTGGGTCCTAAAGTAAAATAAATAGTTAAAAAAACAAGCTAAACTGCTACTACCTACATCATGTCAAAAACTAGTCGTATAATGCGATGTATCATCAACGCCTTAAACGGGTTGTGACTGTTAAGAGGATACCTTTAAAATGAATCGTAGTTTTGGGGGCGTGGCTTATCCCTTTTCGGTGAAGCTCACGGACGACTGAGGGAGTATTAAAATGAAAGTGAGGCAATGACTTCATAGTACGCAAATTATGCGATAGCTATACCGAGCACGCGCTCGGATAAAACTCAGTACCTATGCGCCAAACAACATTTTTATTTTTTTTTAACAAAACTTCTTTATGGATTACAAAATGGTTTATGAGAACTTATATATGATTATTTATTATGCCTTAGAAATAATTTCATGAACTTATTCGTAAAATTTTTGTGGTGTCATGGAGAAATGTTACTAATTAGAGCTTACTTTGCAATTTTTGTCTATCGAGAACATTACAACATGTTTCGTGTTTTTCTTTTTATAAAATCCCAGGTCATATAGTAAAAAATCATACACCTATCAAAAACTTGCTTCGTAATCTATAAAAACTAAAAGGATATGTGAAATAGAAAAACCAATAAATTTTTTGAGGTATCAACTCTGATTAAAAAAAATGAAAAATTGCTCTTACCATATTTAGTTTTACTACGTGCTCGGTGGTGAAGGAAAACGTGAGGAAACCGGCATGTGCAAGAAATAAAAAAAAATATTTCGAAGACATGTGAAGTTCGCTAACACGCATCGGGGCAGCGCGGCAAATACTTCCTTGCCCTAAAATCCTCTCAGAAACGAGAGGAGGCCTGTGCCCAGCAGTGGGACGTATATAGGCTGTAACTCAAAATTCACCATATTAAAAATCTGCATGATTGAACAGTATATAACAGTATATATATTACCCTTTTTATTTGTGCGAACAGCTAAGCAGGTGTAATAAACCAGTATGACTGCGACCAGTAAGATCTATTGTGATCGCTGCTATGGCTTTAGTTCACTGCTGGCTCCATATCTTCAATGAATTAAATGAGTTGTTTAGCTGTGAACAATTTCACTTCCTCTGGGTTAAGTTAATTCTTCCCTCCTCAATCATTCATCAATCAACCAGGAGGTTGATCGATGGTGTTAATAGCAGGGAAGAATTAAAGCATACAATTGTAATTTATAAAAAACATTACTCCGCGCCTGTGCTAGGGGCATTGACAAAAATTGGTTCACCCATGTACATTCATTTTGTATATAAACTATGTAATTCATTTTATAACTAAGAAAACGGTGTTCCATTCCAATTAAAAAATCCGGCAATATTCTTTTCATTTGTCTTGTCGAAAAGTAAGATGACAAAACAAGACAAAGCGTGATTAAACCTCGCTCTTTCATCACTACAAAGAGCATGCATAAAGAGTAATAAAGCACTCCAGGAGTTAAGTATATGGGAGCGGAAACACTCACCGCAATTATAGTTTTCCAGATAAGTGTTACTTTTGACCATTAAGGTTCCACAATCAGTCAGGCTGTGCAGAGGTGTTTCCTGCGTTAAGGAACGTAATCAGCATATCCTTGGGTTGCTTAGTCCCAAGATGGACAGTGTCCAGTCTCTTGTCAAAATACAAAGTTTATTCTTATTTTATCCCAGGGCTTCTGAAGAGAATGAACAATCATAAGCTCCGATTAAAGTTTTGTAATGTTTTGAGCGTGGTAAAATATACAACATGTAACAAAAATCCTGTGATTCCCGTTAACTACGTTATCAAAATCAATATCCAAGCATATAGAAATATTTTTTTTTTTCAAAAAAACATTTATTTTTTATTTTAATAGAAAAAAATTAATTTGCAAATTAATAAAAAAGGAAATAAAACCACTTATAATTATGTGGTTTTATTTCCTTTAATTCACACGAGTATCGGTAATGCGGGGTCTTCGACAATCTTCTTACTCCTCGGCCAATGCAAAGATAATAAAACCACATACAATTTGCAAATATTTTTTTTTCAATAAAATTTTATTTAAATGTTTTTTTGAAAAAAAAAATGTATTTCTATACGCTTGAATACTGATCCATTGTGAAACTCGTTTAAGTTACCATTTATTCGCATAATTTATACACAACATAGTATGTTTTTATAAAAAAAAATTTAATTCATATATATCATTATATTTATTCACTCGGTCGAAGTCAACGATTTTCTTAAAATTTGTTGAAAACACATTTTTTGTAATTGAATTTTAATGTTTTTGTCGTTACAGATAGTGATACGCACCCGAAGGAATCGTGAAATTTCATACATGAAGTTAAATATGTGGGATATAGAAGACCCAATAGTTGGAGGCACTGCCATTAAGGCAATAGATGTGTGCGAAGTGAGAGGCGCACATTATTTATTTGTTTTAACTCAGTGTGAAATATTCAAACTGGTTTTGACGCATACCAACAATGAATTAAGTGAATAAAACACAGTGATGTACAACATACCTGAAATGAAGTATCTGGAATACAAAATTCTTTTGAATTAAGTATTTCAGATACCAGATGCATATAACTTTCTGGAATGGTATCTGAAATACTAGATATAAAATACGTATCTTTTGTATACTTTTTATACAGTCGATTTGGGTAACTGAATATTTTTTACAGTATTTCTGATATTATATTCTGATTTATATTTATACACCTTTATATTATTGAAAAAATAGTGTTCTTTTAAGTTATCGTTTGGTTTATTTTTCCAACACAATAAAGGGGAACGGCAGATTTTTTAACGCATACTTTTTTTCGTTGTTTTGTTATAGAATTTGTACCAGATATTAAAGTAACTAAGCCATTAATTTTCATGTAAGGTTTATATTTTTAGAACTTGGTATTAATTAATAATATCAATAAAAATATTTTAATAAATAAACGTAATATAAGCATAAACTAAACGCAATGAGGGCTACCGTTTTTGTGCTCACCAGTTGGCGCCACTCTCGAGTATGGTCCTGAAGTATAGCTGTCAAAGTTTGTTAGCGCGGTCGTGAAAAGAAAGTTTACATTTAAATCATATTTAATACCTTAACACCGTACCGTATAAATACAGAGTATGCTTCAATGTTTCGCAGTCCCCTTTTATTCAGAAAAAAAGGAGGACATGTTTCCGAAGGATAAAACTGTTTCAAAGCAGTCGTTAATAGCGATTCGCAGGGACAACTATACTTACCCCTCCAAAACATTCGCGTGTTTGTAAAAATTCATTTTTACAAACACGCGAATTTGTATAAATGAATTTTTACAAACACGTTCAACCCTGACGATTATGCGTTACCTAAAGAACCAAATACAGAAAATCGTAAGTAATAATGTTTCTTATTCCTAGATAACATTAACTTCAAGCTTGTTTCAGACACTAAATTTACCCTGACTTTGATAACCGAGCAAGTTATACTTACTTTCATCTGTTGTGAGCTTTTGTTGAAAATTTTTCAGATACTCCTAAACTAAAACCTAAAGCGGTGCCTAGTCGATTTTCCTGGAACCATGAAAGTTAAGAGACAAAGGAAGTTAAAGAAAACGTGCAGAAAGAGCTTTTCAACGTCAGATGAAACGTGAAACTGCAATACCATGATTAAATACACAGGAAAATCAATGTGAAGAACATTTTGTAAGTAAATAAAAACTTTTCATACTCATAACAGCAGCCTTTGTCGACATAAACTGCATCAGTCTCGTTAAATGCCTATGTTTATAGTGCTTCTAGGACTATTTTAACTGTGACAAATGATCTAATTTTTTTTTTTAATTTCCAGACCTGAAGAAACGTGAAAAAATAGACATTGAAAATTCAAATAAAGATGTCTCACTACAATACTCTTTATGCAAATGTGAAGAGAGTTTAACTAATACTGCCAATTTGTAGGATCATGACAGTAATAGAAATAGCATATTAAACATGTTCAGAATTGAAAATTTTGAAGAAAAGCCTGATATAGTACAATTTTACTGTGGTTTTGATAGTTATAACCATTTTATGTTTATCTTCAACCTTTTCGGAAATGAAGTGAACAATTTAAAGTACTATCCATCATTACAGCCAGCTCGTGGAAAACATACATTGACACCATCTGATCAATTTTATTTAACACTAATAAAATTCTTAACATGGGTTAATTACCTTAACTGCAAGTTCAAGGATCTAAATGTATGGATACGGCCAAAGGAAACAATTGATGAAAATGTAATGTATCGAAGAAAGACTAGTAAGTTAGTTTACGACGGGCTGTTTTCCGCAACTTCACGTCTAAGCGCGTATTTTGCGTGTGGGCAGGAATATGTGGTTATTCGAGCCATGATATTTCCCCGAAAAAGTTCAACAGTCCTTTGTTGTCGCAAGCAACTTCGGGGAGCGATCCCGGCGTGCCGAGATGTTTAGCCCTGTATGAAGCGACTTCTGGACATGTCAACAACACGTGAGCAGCCGTTTCTTCCTCTCCCATGCATGCCCTGCACAGGAGGCTATCAGTAACACCTATGGCGAACAAATGTTTGTTAAAAGAGCCATGTCCTGTGATAGCACTTGTTACTATCCTGATCTGTGGCTTGTTCAGTCTCATTAGAACCTTGGTTAGACGACTGTTTATTTCAGGCAGGGCCTCCCTAGCTTGTCTACAGTCTACTAAATTTTTCCAAAGCTGAGCGTGTAAATTATTGAAGTATCTACGTACCAGTGAACGAACGTAGCCAAAGGGGATCGGTATTAATGGTTCCGGCCCTGTAGTTGCCAGAGCTGATCCCCTTCTGGCCAGTTCATCTGCTGCCATCGTTGCCTCTAGATCCACTGTGTCCCTCGATCCATTGCAGAGTCACATTATTGTGCTTACTTACCTCATTCAATCGTTGATGACATTCGTATATCAGTCCCGAGTTCGTCACATTGCAACTCAGAGCTTGTAGTACCGCCATACTGTCGGTCAGTATTCTGATGGAGAAGTCTTTCACCTTCCTAGCATCTATTGCTATAACCGCTTGGATGATACCCATGCATTCAGCCTGGAAGACTGTGTTGTGGGTACCCAGCGGTATGCATCTGGATATTAAGGTCTTCAGAGAAAGCCCCAGACCCCATACCTTCATTTGTCTTAGAGCCATCCATGAAAACTTTGAGCTCTCTTGGACCCAATCCTTCCAGATGGTCTGTACTTCTTATCGAACACAAATTGTTTTAGAATCCTATTATACTTGGCTTGTAAGATAGGAATTTTTGAGTAAATTCTATCGATTATATTTGTATGGCGGACTCTACTCTTACTTAAAAGATTTAGGGTCTTGAGTCTAATGACAGCTAAAGTTGCTTCTTGTATATGTAGATGAAGCGGTGTTAGCTCCAACTTAGTCTCCAAAGCTGCTGTTGGTGTAGTTCTTATGCAGCCCGTGGCAGCCATACAAGCCAATCTCTGGTAACGCTGAAGCTTTCGTATAGTGGTGGCTTCAGTGGTTTTGGTCCACCATACCAAAAAGCCATAAGAGAAGAAAGACTAATACCTCTACAGTAATTATAGATTGCAATGATATAAAAATTGTAAAACCACAAAATCCAGTTTCACAACAAGCCACTTATTCTAATTACAAATCAGCGAACACACTGAAAATATTGGTAGCAATTTCTGGCTCCGGGTGTGTGACCTTCGTTTCAGATGCATATGGTGGATCTGTCAGTGACGAGAGAGTTATTTGAAAAGTGTTTCTATAGCTAAACTATTAATCAACTTCAAAAAGGGGACATTACTCTCGGTGATCGTGGTTTTCATATACAGGATCTAGTTTCACATATTCATGTTACAGTAAATATGCCACAGTTACTGAAAAAAGGTAGTAATCAGTTTGATGCACTCGAGCGTAGAAAACTGTCATCTGAACTTATCAATGTTGAACGTGTTATAGGCTTAGGAAAAACATTTAAGATTCTTAGTAATAAGTTATCATCCAATTTGGTAGCTTTTGGAGGAAGAATCATATTTGTGTGCTTTATGCTTGCCAATTTCAATGTTGCTAACCCTGGGACACTCATGAGGTGGGTTCTACTAAAAACAAAGAGCCCTTTTCCTCTACAACTTATTCACACAACAGATATACGATATAGCCATTTGGCAAAGGTTTTCTTTGAGGTGAAGGCAACCAATTATTGTATCTCAAGAACCATTCTCCAGTTTGGGTTGCTCAAATTCAATCAGGAATCTAGCTGTGTCATACCATTATCTTGTTTGTGTTTCTTTTATGCTTGAAAATGTTGGGCACAATTTATGTCTATCGAACTTAGTGTTTAATTAGTATTTCATCAATGCTATTTATATTTCTATGGCCATCTCATGAAATAAATTACTTACAGATGTTCATGAGGGTATACGCGGCCTGCCCCTTCTTAGATGAAGTTTCATACAGAATGCATTTATTATAAGTACAATAAAATAAATGAACTTAAAAAACAAAATATTTTTTATTTACCTACACTCAAAACCCCATCAGAAATTCATCATTATCAAATTGTTGCAGTCCGCTGCTGAATATAGATACATATCTCCTAATTCACAATGCTGAGTAGATACCGATCCTCATCTCAATCTACCTACTTAATGGTAGAACTATGCTGTAGCTATAATATAGTTATAGCACGAATGAGTGCTCGACCGGGGAAGAACCACGCTCTCCCAGAATACCAGTGTAAAATAGCAGCTTAATACTGCTATGTTTCGTATGGTGAGTGTGGAGATCCGGAGACCCTTTTTTTACTGAAAACGAGGCATTCGATCCTAGTCCTCAGAGATCACAACGCATCTGAATTTTGATTCTAAATCGAGGATAAATGTAGATGTTTATGGGCCACAGCATCCACTAACCATCAGGTGGACTGTCTGTTCGATTGTTACCCTTATTCTATAAAAAAAAAGGTTAGTAAAGCACTACAGAGTAGCGAAAAGCAATATAGAATATTTACTTTATCACAAAAACAATGTTTATTTGCCTATATGTAACGATCTGCATAGGTACACTAGGAGAGGTTTTGGCCGTCGACGGATTGTTGGACAATTTGTCGCTCCTGTTTTGTTGCTTGAATCATGGTTTGAAGTAGATTTTGATTCATAAAAGTGATGCGATTTTGTGAATTGTCTGCGCGTATGAACTATTAGAGAAAACGACAAAACAAGTGGTTTGATATTGATATAATCTCCCAAAAACTGTGACGCATCAGCATATTGTGATGAAAAAAATATATAAAAACGAAGATTACGAAAAAAATGATAGGCTCAGAAGGGCTAGATCCCAAAGCCGTAAAGCCAGTTAAATAAAAAAAATTGGAACACTAGTACATTATTATTATATATTAGTCTATGGTCTATGTAGATAACCTTAAAAATTATAACTGGTTATAACTTTTATCTCCAAAGTTCTAAAAATCTAAGAATTTAAAAGGGATTTGTCTATCCTACTAACTACTAATTAAAACTAAAAATATCCCAAAACACGAAATTTTATTAGCGGTACGAAACTCCCATACAAACCTGCCATTCCCCTTTGTGGTATAAACAACAGAATTACCTAGAAATTCCTCTAAAAGTCAAATTCAAAGATATCGTGAGTTCGTGAGTTTTGGGTAACTTTGAATATAATTTTTTTAGGATGTTAAAACCGATATTATAACTTTTAAGTAAAATTAAATGACGTATTTTTATTTAAAAAAGCCTAATCTATCAAAATGGTGACGTGATAGATAACTTGGTCTTGCCATATGACTCAAGGTGGACCAAAATGGTGGAAAAAAAAGATCGTGCTTTTTTGTAATTATTTATCACATTCAAATAAATAAGTAAAGTCTCTCAACTAAAATTTGAGGACGTGTATCACTATAATAATGTAAACAGAGCTTATGAGTTTATTTATTTAAACTTGTATTTGCCCTTTGTATTCCAACTGAAAAAGTTAAAATATGGTATAAAAAAGATACAGCCTGGAAAACCAAAGGTATCACAGTCTCAAATAAGAGTAAACGTAAAATGTACCTTCAAACAAAATGTAGTGGCTCTTAGGAACAAAAAATTAAATACGTTCGCTGCTGTAAAATCCTAAAGCGTATACCTAATAAAAGAGTCTAAAAGAATTTTTAATGTTAAATTTATCTCATGTTTATTTTTTTTGGCATTAATTAAACTACAAACCCAAAGCACAAATGTAATTCAACCTACTATAGACTACATAGTGCAAAACGACAATGTCATAAAGTCACCTGCAAATCCAGCAAGTACTTTCAACCATCACTATAATAACCAAAACTGTAACACATTAACATCAAATAATTATAAACCACAACACAGTACAACTTGAAAAGTATGTTCCTTTATCCAGTAGATAAGTGTGAAATAATAAACATTAAAAAACAATTAAAAGAGTTAAAAAATAAAAAATAAAACCCAGTTACGGATATGATAATATACCCATTAGAGTAATTAAAGAAAGCATACCTTTTATTGCTGACCCGCTTGTATATATCATAAATATAATTTTGGATACGGGAGAATTTCCCAATACTTTAAAAAAAAGCTCTCAAAAAGCCATCATATAAAAAAGGATAACGGCACGACATAGACCAACACTTGGTAACAATAGTTTTTTGAAAATATTTGAAAAAGAAACATATATCAGAATCACAAAGTTTTTGGATATTAATAATATTATAAATGAAAATCAATATGGATTTCAAAAAAACGTCTGGCAATATAAAAACTATTTAATACAATTTGGCATAAAATTAATGATAAAAAACAATGTTCTGCTCTTTTTATTGATATGTCAAAAGATGTGTGAAATATATTTTGTTAAGTAAATTAGAAGGCATAGGAATAAGAAGACTATCACTTAAATTAATAGAAAATTATTTAAATAATGGAATGCAAGCAACTGTTATCGAGATATATAATTTACAAAAACGGTTGAGGTAGTTAAATCTGAATTTGAAAATGTAATACTGGGTGTACCCTAAGGCAGCATATTGGAGCCCCCTTTACTCGTATTGTATATTAACGATCTCCCAAACATAATTACCCACCTATGCAATTATAATATATATTATATTTATTTCTAATGATGACTTAAATGATTCTGTTTATGAAAATGAAATAAACAAAATATTGAAAACAATTACCGATTGGCTGCATTTAATAAACTTAAAAGAAAACCAAATTTAGAAATCACAAAATTATACTTACCTGCCAAACTAAACACAACCGTGACTGACATAGCGGTCAAAGAAGTAAAGAATATAAATTTTGTAGGAGTCAAAATAAATCAACATTTAAACTTGAAGGCACATATTGTAAAATCTATAAAAAATATCCAGTGCAATGTTACGCATTGTCCATCTTGGCAGAAATTACAAATGTAAGTGTCAGTAGAAATGCCTATTTTGGAAGCGTTTATCCACTCCTAACTTACGGTTTCATATACTGGGGAAACTCAACAGATATACAATCCACATTCGTTTTCCAGAAAAAATGTCTTAGAACAATATATAACATGCATAGTACCGAATCAAGAATTTTATATTTGTGTCTGGACTAAAAACGAAAGTATTATACTTTTTTATATTCCATGTAATATAGTGAACACATATATATATAATTTGTGGTATAAAAAGTGAAAAGTAAATTGCCAAAAGTGCTTCAAAATCTGGAAGGCCAATTATGGCGGCTGGGTCATAAATGTGGTATTTTTCACATTCTCATTTATTTTTAGTGTAAAATGTAAGTAAAAATAGTTTTCTTACATATTTCAAATAACTTGACGTTGTATTTATTTCAAATTCACACAAAACTATTTTAGAAATATTGTTCTAAATGTCACACAGATAAAATATTAATATTTAATTTTTTTAATTTCTTTATATTTTATATTTTGGTATGAGTAACGAATGGAAACACATAAAACATAAAAATATACATATTTCCAAACAATTTGATATAAATTTCTCCAAAAACAAAAGTGTAGAATTCAAATTAGTAGTAATTTTGTCACTAAAATTGAAGTACATACTACTACTGTGCTATACAGGGTAATTTACGTATTTTATTACAATTTCTATCAACCAAAAATAATTTTATTCGATAGTTTATACATTCAACAAGAATTCCTGTAAGTTTTATCCATAAATATTGTCTCAAAGTGAAAATATAGCAAAATTTGCAATATAGCAAAAAAATTTGCTAATTTTCAAATTTTGCCGCCATTACGGTCCCGAGCGAACGGGAGTATAACATGTCGCGCGCTGTCAGAGCTTACAGGTAGAGATATTTTCTGAACAAAAGGTTTCCTAACACTGACTGGAATCATGCATCCTGGAATTATGTCTATTTGTAAAAAAACAATATTTTAATATGAAATCTGATTCAAAGAAAAACATTCGCACTTCTCCACTGACTTTAGTATTTATGTAATGTTGATCAGCAGGAGATAATGTATGACGGCGGCTCATGGCCGTGCATGTGTGAGGTCTACATTATCTAAAATGATTGTTGAAAATGAATAATATTCCTTCCTATGAGGCAATTTATGACCTATGTTCAGCAGTGGACTTTCGATAGGCTGTGATGATGATGATGATAAATTTAGACAGATAGATTTAGTTCTTAATCTTACACATAAACATGCGCAAAAGAACAAAACATAATTCTCCAAAAGGCCAGGCATTTTGTTAGCTGAATGTTTTTTGATGATGTAAATTAAAACATGTGAATTAAAAGTCTTGAACTTGTTGCAAATATTTATTTATAAAACCATTAAACAATTATAAAACCGAATATATAGAATAATATCCCTTTTTGTATATAAACTCAATAAAAATGTACGAAATCGTCAGGACTAGAAGAACTTCGCCAGTATTTTTTAAACTTAAATAGAAGCTCATATTTACAAATAACTTACATACTGTGATACATTTTGTGTCGTCTATTTTACATTCCGTCGTACTTTGGCACTAGTCGTCGGCAATATATAATATTATTTAATGTCGTTATTTTAAAACGGCTACGATTCAGAAGTATTTTTACAAATGTACAAAACTTCTTTTCCGACATTTATTTTCATTGATCTATTCGGCCCAGCCGCAAACAATAAAAACACTGCAAAGCCGCATTTATAAAAATGGTAAAAATGTCTTATTTTATAATATTAGTATAACACATGAGGGTAATATAGTCATCCGGTTGACGTGGTCACTTTCTTATAACTCAAAAACTACAGCCTTGTTTGGATAAATGGCTCTGTGATACGATACCTCTTCATCGGTGAATCAAATAACAAAAGGGTCAAAAAGGCTCTGCTTTATCGACGCCATTTCAACAGTTGATATTATAGTAAATATTTTAGTCGATTTTAGTATTGTGTAATGTAGTTAGTCTTTTTAAGTAGATTTTTCGAATTGTTCCTAATTACTGCCAATGCTTGTTTGCTATTTTTTTAAATTAATATCCTAGTTGTAGAATACGACTTAGTGTTTTTGTATCTATACTCCTTCTAGCTTTTGTTTTATAGGGCGGCAAATCATAAGGTTAAACCATATTACCCTCATGTACCTTAATAGTTTTAAGTTTTGTTTATGAATAACTTGTAACAGAAAAAGTGTTGGATTCTCATATTCATTAAATGTATCTAGATTTATATTGCTATAGCTCATTTAGTTGAATTAGTTATTATATGTATATATGCAATAAGTTACTAAATTACCTAAGTGTAAAATCATACATTTTTGTGTACCAGACACAATACAAAATATATGTGATATGCATTTAATTAAAGAAAAACCTAACTCCTTTATCTTTTAATTCAAAGCCTTTGCTGTTGTTTGTACGCAATTTGTGCTCATCTTTTCGATTTAACTTCAACTGATTTTTTTTCGTACCATCGCCAATTATCACTTTCAAACCTTTTTGGTTTTACCAATAATTTCTCTCCTAGAGGCATTACTTGGGTTACCGTCAAAAATTTGTGGGCTTGAGTTTATACTACGCCTGACTTTCATTTAATAGGCCGAATTTTGTCACAACTCTTCCATCCGAATGAGAATTCATTCCTTTGTCATTTTACTTTAGCGATCTGTCGCATTCGGGTTCGTGTAGGAGAAACCTCTAAAAGGTTCTTGATCCATAGACCGTAGGACGTGCGGCTCCACTGCGGTGAGACGCGGTCGTTCCCCAGTAAACGCTTTGTCGAAGTATTGCGTATCCAGTGGATGTCGCTGAAAATATTTATTGCATCAAGGAAAGTAAAATTTGCACAGGAAAAAGGTGACAAACGAGGACACAGTCCACCTAATGATAAGAAGTTGCTGCGGCCCATAGACATCTACATCTATTCTCGATTACGAATCAAAATGCAGATGCGTTGTCACCCGTGAGGACTAAGATGGAATGCCTCATTTCCAGTAAAAAGGGTCTCCGGTTCTCTACACTCACCATACAAAACGCAGCAGCATTAAGTTGTTATTTTACGCTATTATTCTGTGAGAGCGTTGTAGTTCCGCGGTCGAGCCGACCCATCCGTTTAACTATATAACTGCAGCATGGCTATCTTTATTATAGTTGATGTTCTTCTTATTCTTCTACATCAGCCCGCGAAAGTCTACTGTTTATGGGTTTCTTCCATTAAATCTTTAATCGCCAAGCTCGTTCAATCTACTCGCCAGTGTAATTACAATTTTTACCCAGACCGGCGACAGGGAGTAGTGTCAAAGGTACGAGACTCAGTATTGCGATTGTTAATGCGCCTGTCGAGCGTGACAATTGAGGCAAATCTTTCGTATAAATGAAGAGGCCCAACTATTATTTATCCTGTGTCCATGTCCAGTAGCGGACATATACCGAACGAAGAAAAAGATTTGAAAAATAAAAAAGTATAAAGAAGGTTTTACCATACTATTTAATATGTATTATCCCCCGATGAAAAAGAGGGGTGTTGTAATATGTTTAACGTCTGTTTTTGTGTATCTATGTATCTGTATATCTGTGTGTCTGTGTATCTGTATATATGTGTATGTGCATTTCTGTGTATCTGTATCTGAGCGTCTGTGTATCAGTCTATCTGTATATTTGTGTATGTTCGTGTCTGAGTATCTGTATATTTGTGTATCTATGTATTTGTGTGTCTGTGTATCAGTGTAACTGTATATTTGTGTATCTATGTATCTGTGTGTCTGTGTATCAGTGTATCTGTGTATTTGTATATATGTGTACATGCGTGTATGTGTCTGTGTATCTGTATATATGTGTATCTATGTGTCTGTGTATCTGTATATATGTGTATCTATGTATCTGTGTGTATGTGTATCTGTGTATCTGTATATATGTGTATGTGCATTTCTGTGTATCTGTATCTATGTATCTGAGTGTCTGTGTATCAATCTATCTGTATATTTGTGTATGTGCGTGTCTGAGTATCTGTATATCTGTGTATCTATGTATTTGTGTGTCTGTGTATCAGTGTAACTGTATATCTGTGTGTGTATGTATCTGTGTGTCTATGTATCAGTGTATCTGTATATATGTGTATATGTGTGTCTGTGTATCTGTATATCTGTGAATATATGTATCTGTAAATCTATGTATCACAGCTTGTGTGTTCCTTTTTTGGGTGTAATTTCAAACCAGGATGATTTATTTCGACATTGCGCGTTGACTCGGCGAGGGCTTGCATAAGACGGGCTTTCCAGTGCGTACCGGACTCAACGAGCGCATGGTATACAGCGATGCCGTCGCTGGTTGCGCAATGGTTCGCTGAACCATATCTATTACTTTAATACCAACTCCGTAATGCTTGTTATTATTTACGACATAACTAGTCTGAGTATCTGTATTTATGTATATCTATGTATCTGTGTGTATGTGTATCTGTATATATGTGTATGTGCATTTCTGTGTATCTGTATCTATGTATCTGAGTGTCTGTGTATCAGTCTACCTGTATATTTGTGTGTGTGCGTGTCTGAGTATCTGTATATCTGTGTATCTATGTATTTGTGTGTCTGTGTATCAGTGTAACTGTATATCTGTGTATCTATGTATCTGTGTGTCTGTGTATCAGTGTATCTGTATATATGTGTATATGTGGTATCTGTATATCTGTGAATCTATGTATCTGTGCATCTGTGTATCTGTATATATGTGTATATGCGTGTCTGTGTGGTTACACGCATATACACATATATATGTATCACTATATATATATATATATATATATATATATATATATATATATATATGCATTTTATGCTATTTTCCGCAGTAAACGTGGCTTCGGGTATTTACAGTCCTTGATGATTACAGATAGATTAGTCTCGGATACAAAGCGAAAATCCTTAATACTATATTTCGTTTTTATACTGATATCCATTAGAGGATAAGCTTAAGAAAAGTGGGACATCTCGATCTTAAGCGTTTCTTGGTAAAATATATACAATCCTGTTTGCATCGATGTACAAATGTTTATATTTATTTTGAAGCAAAAATAGCCTATGCTATGTTGATTTGTAATTCCACAAGGAATATTATAAAATAAAATTCTGAGTGTATCTATGTGTCTGTGTATCTGTGTATCTGTATATCTGTGTATTTATGTATCTGTGTGTCTGTGTATCAGTGTATCTGTATATATGTATGTGTATGTGCGTGTCTGTGTATCTGTATATCTGTGTATCAGTGTATCTGTATATATGTTTATATGCGTGTCTGTGTATCTGTGTATCTATGTATCTGAGTGTCTGAGTATCTGTATATACGTGTATATGCGTGTCTGTGTATCTGTATATCTGTGAATTTATGTATCTATGTGTCTGTGTATCTGTAAATATGTGTATATGCGTGTCTGTGTATTTGTGTATCTGTGTATCACAACAATTTAATATTATATCCATTTTTATTAGTTATCTAGAATTTTCTACTTTTGAATTGCACAAGTATAAACATCCAGAGCCGGAAAAAATATTTGTAGTCTATACAATGTGGTGGAGCGGTATAAAATTTCAAAGTTCGAGTGCATATTTATAAAAACATCCTACAACTCATTATTCAGAGAATAGTAAATCAATAAATGTATTGTAGGTAGACAGGGTAGTCTCTGAGAAGGGAACATGAATTTCTTTGATGGCTATGATATTGCGAGTAAATAGCGCCGTGGAGCGTGGTCGTGACGTAAGGTAATCTACCACCACATATTATTCCGTAGGTGTCATAAGAAACAAAGGAAACTGAAACAGGAGATGAGCAACAGCATCTTCTTGATAACAGCTCCTAACTTTGAGCCAAATGGCAAGCGTGGCAACTGTAGCAAATATCCCCCTATGAGGCTATCTATGGGATAGGCCCATGTTTAACTGTGATGTGTTTTTAATAGAATAATAATGAGCAACAGCATTAACCTTTTGAGCGCCAAAGTCGTCTATACGTGACCAGCACCCGCGTGCCCTGAGCGCCAACGACGTCTATAGATGACAAAAAACCCGGCCCACAAAAATATGAAATATAGACATTGGAAAATTATTACTGGTATTTTAATTCTACACCCCTCAAAAAAGAATAACCCAGCAACATGTGAGTATAAAAAACAAGTCTTCTAGAGCCACAAGTACTAAGAAACATTGAACTAAAAAAAAATGGATTTTTATCTAAGCAAATACTATGTCCAGCACGCCAAAGTCGTCTATGTTAGACCGCTAGTGTTGTAATGCGTTAGCCATAAATTTATTGAAAACTATTCAAAATTAAGCTCAAACGTGTTATTTTTTTCTATTATTATTGATATTTAAATAAAACAAAAGGTTAGAAATATAAAACTATAATTAGCTACATGAATTTAAAAAAAAATAACAAATTATCTTCGCATAATAAATCTAATATCTCAACTCTGGCGCATCCTTAGCGCGACATCGAAAATCAGTTCACTGGGCGCCGTGGTCAAGTATAGACGACACACTGATGACGTCATAAGCGATTAGCGGGAAAATTAGTGCAGTGCAACATGAACGATTCCTCAGAACTCATTCGGATTTTGGAAAGCGTCGACGATGATGAATTTTCGGAAATTTAAAATTATCGTGAAACCAAAGTTTTTCGTTTTCGATTAACTCTACCTCAATGAGGTAGGAATACACTTTATAGTCTTTTTACGGTTAATTTCTTTTTTTATAGCATAGGGTAATAAACGAGCACACAGTCCACCTGATGGCAAGTGGTTGCTGTGGCCCATAGACATTTACATCTATCCTCGATTACGAATCAAAATGCAGATGCGCTCTCACCCGTGAGGACTTAGATGGAATGCCTCGTTTCCAGTAAAGAGGGTCTCCGGTTCTCTACACTTACCATACGAAACACAGCAGCATTAAGCTACTATTTGATGCCGATATTCCGTGAGAGCGTGGTTCTTCCCCGGTTGAGCCGACCCATTCGTGCTACAACTACTAACTCCCGTAATATAACTGCAGCATGGCTCTACCACGTTAGAAAATTTGCTTTGGCCAGCTAAACATTTATGTTTTATTATTCCATAAGATTTTTATTATTTTAAGACTAATATTACCTATAATTTATTAATTATTTTTAATTGTTGTTTTCTATATTAAGTACTGATTGAGTTAAAGACCAAGATTTTAATATTTTATGACTAGACCTAGTGCAAATAATTATTTACAATTGTTGAATAATTATGTACCCTTTGTTGATTTCTGTAATAAGTACTGATTTTTTTAATTCCATGACCAAGATTTTAATATTATAAGACTGATTTTTCTAGTGCGAATAATTACCTATATACAGTTGTTGATTAGTGAATAATTACGTACCTTTTCTATTTTAATAATATAAAATTACAAATAATAAATGTGTTTTCTTTACTTAAGGTATGAAGAGCAATTTTCATTTTGTGTTGTGCGATTTTCTTTCTCAATCTCAAAATCATTTAGCAACATCAGTATCATATGAAACCCCCCTTTATCATAAGAGCGTAAGACTTTTCTTCTGTGATTCACTTGGTCTACGCCTTGCCATATAATATTTTGAATAGATGTCTGTATATTTTGGTTACATCGATTTTGAAATCGATACACAACGTGCGACACGGCTACATCTCTAAGAAAGTTTCAAAAAGAAAGGTCAGCTACGCCGTTGTCGTCCAGTCGTGACAGTGACGTCATCACGACGGAGAGTAGTGTTGTGGTTTACTACTATTTTATTGTTATTGTTTTTTATTTATGTACAAAGTACATATATAAAAAGAGTGGAAGACAGCACAAGATTAAATAAAACATACCCGATTATAAAGACTCATTTATTGTATAAAAAACCAACAAAAACAAGTTATTTTGTGTTATCGATATATCAACTCTTGGCAGCACTGTTTTTTTCGTAGGTATTTTTGTTTACTTTTCGCTTTGGCGTACAGGACACGGTAGTGAGTTTTTGGCGTGGCGCTCAAAAGGTTAAGGATCGCGGGTTCGAACCCGCACGGAACAATTATTTGTATGCCCTACAAATAATTCTTACGGGTCTGCATGTTTGTCCATATGAAATTTGTGTATAAAAACTGCCTCATGATACAGAAGAAAATCCTAGTGAGGAGGTAACGTTTTATAAAAAGATTTAAAATGAATGAATGAAGGTAACAGTATATTTTGCCATCGACATATTTTTTTTTTGAGTTACACCTATACAGTTTCAAAATAAAATAAATTAATTAATATTACGATGGCAACGTTCATGTAATGTTTGATATGACATGTACTCGTGCATGTGCCCCAAATGATATAAATGGTTTATATTTTTAGCACACACTCGTTTCTTCATGTTTTTAAACTATTTTTATATCACTGACATTACGCGTGACTTTATTCGCTTGGACTCTAAAAGTAGAATTCTATTGTTAGAGTCCCAGCGAAACGTAAATCCTAGTTTCGTCCGAACGTGATTCTGGTCCGTCATTTGGACAAACTTCATTAGTTTTATTAGCTTAAATTATGCTAAGTTGTGGGTTCTATTCCCGCTCCCAAACTGGATGAGTATTTATATGGTCGCAACAGTAAGGAAGTAATGTTTTAGGACGCATAGGCTTTATACAAGGAATAATTTTCATTTAATAAAATATTAAATTTTTGCTCCACTTCAACGTATTATCTCGTGGGTTATGTAAGAGGCGGCTGAGGGAAATGAAATGGGAAATGGAAGTAATATTTTCTTGCTATCAACTCAAGATTGAAAAAAAAACTGCAGTTGCCAACCTGTCTGCCAAGCATGGCATCTACGGCAAATCTTTTTGAGACAATCTTCGGAGGAAACCTATATTCAGCATCGGATTTTGATAGGCAGTAATTAATGAATAAATTATGTTTATTATATTTTTGTATGCTTCCCAAATATTATTACGTGAGACCGGGATATGAATTATTTTCCAACTTTCCTTATTGCCCTGTATCATTAGATAGATCTTAGGATTGACGATCCATTAAACTTACCTAATTATGAAACTCAGGTTTCGTAAGCTAAGCTCAGTTGTCAATTATTTAAGCTTGCGTTCAATGGTCTCCGCACATAAACTTTTTAAATAACTTTTGAAGCCGACTCCAAGAAACTAAAAATATTATCTATTATTTTTAGCTATTGAAATCAGCTCATTTTTCTTAATACCTAGAATTTCGTTTAAATAGTTACATTAAAACATCATTTATACGTGGTAGAGGCACGCTGTAGTTATATTATGGTTGTAGCATGAATGCTCGACCAGGGAAGGACCACGCTTTCACAGAATGCCAGCGTAAATTAGCAGCTTTATGTTGCTGTGTTTCGTATGGTGAATGTAGAGAACCGGAGATCCGTTTTACTGGAATCGAGTTACTCCTCGGGGGTGACAACGCATCTGCATTTTGATTCTTAATCGAGGTTAAATGTAGATGTCTATGGGCCACAGCATCCATTTACCACGAGGTGGTCTGTGTGCTCGTTTGTCACCCTTATCCTATAAAGAAACCCACAGGGATAGAATTTCCCTTTCTATAAGGAACTACTTCTGAAGTACAACCTATTAGATGTATAAATAATCGTTAAAATTAGGTGACAATGGACAAAGATATCGCGTCACATATAAGTATACAGAAAAAGAACACAGTTGAAGTGAGCATACATAAATACATACATAAACTCTCACGCCTGTCACCCAGAGGGGTAGGCAGAGACTACAGACTTCCATTTGGCACGATCCTGACACACCTCTCTCGCCTCCTTCACATCCATACATCTACGCATACATGCTCGTCGGTTAAGGGTACTCCTAATTTGGCCCGTTTTCAATAAATCGCCAATTTGGTCGATAAATTTTCGCCTAGGTCGTCCCTTTCCGACTCTGCCATTCACTTCTGCAACATAAATTTTCTTTGTCGCTCTTTCCTCATTCATTCTTTCCACATGACCAAACCACCGAAGCATTCCTTTCTTAATCCTGGTCACAACATCATCTTGAAAACCACACTCTTCTCTTATTACACAATTTCTTTTTTTAGTGAAATTTGAAGTGAACCTCCTAGTTTTATTGAAATTAGCTAAAAAAAGGATATTGACCCACACATGATTGCACTCCACCTATAGTAAAGTAACCTTCATGCATGCTAGTTTCAATTTTTGTGTTGTTTTATGAACTTTATGTTTCGGGAGTTACAGCCTATATACGTCCCTCTCCCGGGCACAGGTCTCCTCTTACTTCTGAAAGGGTTACAGGGCAAGGAATTGTCCGCCGCGCTGACCCAATGCGTGTTGGCGGACTTCACATGTATTCGAAATATTTTTTTTTATTTCTCAGACATGCAGGTGTCCTCACGATGCTTTCCTTCACCGCTGAACACGTGGTAAATTTTATTTACTACATATTAATGTTTTACGTTTGGACTATAAAAATGTGTTATTTTATTTTGTTATCGCTTTGTGTGTCGTGCCGTTAATATATGCTAACTTTTTAACATTTCTCATGTAAGTGAATATCAACGACTACACAGCCCGAATAGACGCCTAATGTATGTACTTCTGCATCCAAACCTGTCTGTCAAAAGTATGAGGTAAGCGGTATGGGGGAGGCGGGTTGAAATGCATGCTAATTGGTTAAAATCAAGGTTGCGACAATTGCTAATACGCAAATAGTGATGGGAACTTTAACTAACAAATTTGGTACCAAGTCTACTTAATTAGTACCAGAATTATATTCTACTATAAATTAGTAAAAAATAAAAAATAAAACAAAAGAAGTTTTATTTAATTAGGTATCGTATTTAGTAAAATACCTATAATTTTTTGTTTTAAAGAATATTTTTAATAAAACAAGCTTTCTTTACAATATAGTAATAATAATAGAATACTATTAAAAATAAAATAGCAACAGTTATTTGAATTGTCAAGTTCACTTCCGTTTCCTACTTGTCTTGACATGGCGTCTTAGCAGTAAAGAGAGCGGAGTGCCGTCTATTAAAAATTATATCAATTTTATTACGAATTTTTAAGAAGTTTTGAATAATTTGATTTAATTATTAAATCAGTTAATTTAAATATGGATTAACGTACATTCACTAAAAAAAATCAGCTTATACCTATGTCGCTTATAGTATAAGTCTGTAAAACATTCACGATAACATGCATAATATTTATTTGTACCAATATTATAGTTTAACTGGTACAGCACAAGTTACAAGTGCCGGTAATTAAAGAAAAGTATAGCAACAATGAACTGCATCGAAAAGAAAGGGATGCATGGTCCGAAAATATCCGAAGATGTCCAAATAAATCAACGCGAGTTGCTTGTGACAAATATAGGTTTTTAATTTTAACTAATGAATTTGGATTATCTATGAAAAGTGATGCCATTTTTTTTTTTTGAAATTACACATTTGGCTCCTATTTTCGCACTATTTTATTGTACAGGGAACCATGTTGCGCGTCTATTGTATTTTATTTTGTCGAAAATTCACGAGTCACAAGCAAGATGTTCACAGGTCAGGGATGTAGTCGCTACTAAAGTAGATCGTGCGATCGTTTTCTTAAGTCAGACGTATAATAATAATATTAATAATATTCCACAACTATCACACAACGCCATCTAGTCCCAAGCTAAGCAGAGCTTGTGTTATGGGTACTAGACAACTGATAAACATACTTATATATTTCTAAATACATAAATATTATAGATAAATTACACCCACACACAGAACAAATGATCGTGCTCATCACACAATCATTTGACCTGGGTGGGAATCGAACCCACGACCTCCGGCATAGCAGTCAGGGTCACTAACCACTAGACCAACAGGCCTGTCGCGTGTCGTGTATTTGTCTAACGTGTTGACAGAAATTGTTCGCCTTGCATGTGGCGTCTATATTATCTCATTTAAGATTTTATATGTATTAGAAGTTTAAGCTTTTAATAAATTATTATTATTATTAAATTATATAAATACCAACCACTTTAGGTTTGAAGGGTGCCTCGAGCTCGCGCCTCTCGAGGCGGTCCCAAGCGACGGCGTGGAAGAAGTCCTGGTCGCGTATGTCGCCGTGCATGCACTCCGCGCCGCCCAGCCGCGTCCGCGCATCTTTATCCAGCAACTGCGGGCAACAATTCTCCAATAACAGCGACGAACTGCTTTTGTACAAGGAAGGGTGACAAACGAGCACGCAATTCACCTGATTATAATTGGGTGATGTTGTTAACCGTGTAGTGGCGGGGTAAGAATATACACTACTCCGTATCATCCCGTGGGTGCCGTAGAGGCGACAGACTTAGGCTGAATCAGCATCTTCCCAATAGCAGCTGAACAAAAACAATGAGGTTGCCAATCCGCAAGTTGTTTTTAAATATAAAATCGCAGGCGCTGCTCTACAAGAATATTTAGGATAGAAGTTTCGGCAATTTCGCCAATGTTATATTCTAAGATGCCCTTACGATAATCATAGAAAAAAATGTGGTGATGTATTTTCATAAGTTTCTTTTCTACCTAAGAGTTCGTCTGGAAATGTACCGTCGTACTTTTATCTATTCCTCTCGTCAAACAACAGTGTATCCACTGTTAGTGTTATGTGCAGACTGTAATAATGATAATGAAGCTTGTTCCATGATGTCCCTAGGTAAAAGGATCTCTTCTATATCTTAGTATATAAAAATTGCGTGTCACGATATTCGTTAACGCTAAGCTCCGAAACCGCTCAAATCCATTTTAATAAAATTTCGTTAATGTGTATTGCTTGCTTTAACTTAAGGACTTTAACTTGAGACAGGATAGTTTTTATCCTGTCTCAAGTTAAAGTCCTTAAGTTATAAGTGACCCTCAATATTTTTTATTGCGCATTTAAAGATTTTTTATAGGATATATGGTCGTCAGAAAAAGATAGAATAACGTCTGCCTGGTCATCTAATCTATACATAAATTAAAGTATCTGTTTGAAATGTCAAAATAACAGCTTTTTATTAATAAACGCATTTAAAAGAAAATAGCAGTATATCGCTGGTGCCTGAAGTAGATAATTAAAACGAGAGCTAGAGGTCGACAGGGCCCATCTTACTAACTTTATACGTGGTAGAGCCATGCTGCAATTATATTAGAAGTATAGTTGTAGCACGAATGGGTCGGCTCGACCGGGGAAGGACCACGCTCTCACAGAATACCAGCGTAAAATCTACTATTTTAATGCTGCTCTTTCGTATGCTGTTTTTACTGGAAACAAGGCATTCCATCTTAGTCCCCACGAGTGACAAGACATCTGCATTTTGATTCGTAATCGAGGATAGATTTAGATGTCTATGGGCACAGCAACCACTTACCATCAGGTGGACTGTGTGCTTGTTTGTCATCCTATCCTATAAAAAATATGAAAGTATATACGGTACGCATAAAGAAGTTTTGTCTGTTTGTGCCGGCTAATTTCTGGCTGGACCTATTTTGATTTTTGACGGGACTTTCACTGGCAGATAGCTGATGTTATGAAAAATTAAAACCCAAATTCCAGTTGTAATAAATTTTACACTACTTACGCCGCCATCACGACGTATAACATACTGTATATTATAGTGCTTGGTATATAAATAAGGTAGAGCCTAATTTTTCTCTCTTATGAATCTGGTTGAGAAATACGAGTACGTTGAAATTCCTTACCCTGGTGAGTATGCTAAGAGACTCTTGCGACAAGAAGCGCGGGTAGGACGGCATTTCGTTACAGATTGACCAGAACAGCTCATCCTCGTCGCAACCGCTGAATGGACTTTGCCCAATCAGCATCTCGTACAGCAGTACCCCGAAAGACCACCAGTCCACTGTTTGGTTGTATTTCAGTCCTTTTATTATCTGGAAAGAACAAAAATACTAAATGTTAATGCATAGGTATTATTATGACTGTTATTACTAGCTTAAACTACTTAACAAAAAAATGTCTTAGGAACAAGCCAATGATTAGAACTTATTTGAGAAATCCCTTTAGAAATAGTACGATAGTAGTAAGATAATACTTGGTTAAAACTGTAAATGAAAGTAAGAACTTTTAAGAAATTTAGAAAACTAAAATAAAGTGATAAGTAAAGAACACCATGTTCATTTTTTCTAATGAATTTTATTTTTTCACCAACAAGCCTTAACTTTAATCATTAAACAATTAAAATGGATATCGGTAATGAATTACTCTACTGAATTACTCTCTCTCTCTCTCTCTGTGTGTGTGTGTGTGTGTGTGTGTACGTGTGCGTGTGCGTGTGTGAGTGCATGCGCGTGCGCGTGCGCGTGCGTGAGCGTGTGTGTGCGTGCGTGTGCGCGTGCGTGTGTGTGTGTGTGTGTGTGTGTGTGTGTGTGTGTGTAGTGTGTGTGTGTGTGTGTGTGTGTGGTGTGTGTTGGAGACCTAACCCGTAAGCTCATGGCCATACTCTTATTCGATATACGGCTGGCTCAGGACGGTATCGAATTTGATACCAAATACTGCCCTATGAAAAATTATTTTTTTGTTTTAAACAAAACCAAAGACAATATTGTTACGCGCTCAAGTCGACGATACACTAGCGCCATCTAGTGTCAGGAACGAGAGCGAGGGGAGCATTGAGAAAATGACATCACAAATCACTCAACCGACAGCGCCTAGTCGAAACTCGAACGCTCGGTACCTTGCGCGTGTTTACTTGAACATTCTGGATATTTATTTGCTTATTTAAATAAGTAGGCGCTGCAAGATGCGATGGAAGTAGAGTTGAACTCGGCGACACAAGCGAAGCTTCGGAGTGGAATTAAGTGAATTAGTGTGTTTAATTATTAGTGTTTTTAGTTTTAATTTGTGTAAAGTAAATTAAAGTGTTAATTTAGGTAATTTTATCGGCAATTTTTATTGTCACGAACCTCAAGCTCGTAACAATATGCAATGAATAATATAGTAAAAGACAAAGATATGCTCTTTTATTTTAAACCATATCCTGGCAATGTTTCTTAGAAAAAAAAAGAAAAGAAATCACTCTGAACTTTCGGCGTTCCACGTGTCGCATTGCAGAAGGTGCTCCGTCTTTTTTATAGAATTTTATATTTGTGTCTGGACTAAAAACGAAAGTATTATACTTTTTTGTATTCCTTGTAATATAGTAAACACGTAGATATATAATTTGTGGCATAAAAAGTGGAAAGTAAGTGCCAAAAGTACTTCGAAATCGAGAAGGCCCATTTTGGCGGTTGGGTCAAAAATGTGTTATTTTTCCAATTCTCATTTATTTTTAGTGTAAAATGTAACTAAAAAATAGTTTTATAACATATTTCAAATAACTTGACGTTGTATTTATTTCAAATTCACACAAAAATATATTTGAAATATTGTTCGAAATGTCATACAGATAAATATTATTTTTTTATTATTATTTTTTATATTTTGGTATGAGTAACGAATAGAAACACATAAAACATAAAAATATACATATTTCCAAACATTTTCATATAAATTTCTCCAAAAACAAAAGTGTAGAATTCAAATTAGTAGTAATTTTGGCACTAAAAGTGAAGTATATACTACTACTACGCTATAAAGGGTAATTTATGAATTTTATTACAATTTCTAGCAACCAAAAATATTCAACAAGAATTCCTGTAAGTTTTATCCATAAATATTGTCTCAAAGTGAAAATATAGCAAAATTTGCAAGTTAGCAAAAAATTTGCAATTCCCGCCATTCGCGTCGCGTGCAAACAGGTCTAACCTGTTTGCTGTTCTTTCTGAGCTAGCGGGCATGACACCTTTACAGCTAGGAGCCTTTAGTATTTAAACTGAAATAAGCCAATTTCTTTGCTTCTCACAGCAAAGTACTATTTTATAAAAAGACATAGAAAGAAATAAAACGAAAGAAAGAAAAACTACTTTATACAAATATATAAAAACATGCATAAATATAAACAATGTCTTTGTAGGTCGTAAGTCATGCCAAAAAAAGTTCATTATCAAACAGTATGTTAGCAAAGTTTTCTATTGTCTATTGTGTAAAGTAAAAAATAACATATCGTTTCTTTACTTTACACAATAGCGTATACGGAATGTTGGTGAGGCCTCTGCCTCGAATCTTGCGGGCAGCGGAGCGACGGCGACGGCGGCGCGGGAGCGAGGCGGGCAACGCAGACCCGTTCACGAAACTAACGGGCAGATCGCGCGACACTATAGCGGCGTAGTGATGTGTGAACGAAATGTCTGAACAACGGCGACAACATCTTTTTTGATTCGAATTTATATCTAACGCTCGATTTACTGTGGGCAAAAGAAGTAAATCCCTACTACTTATAGGGCAAGGAAAAGAAAAGGCGAGTTTTATCGAAATTACGAAGAACAGAGACAATGTCCCGACAAATTCTACGACTACACCAGAACGAGCGTAGACACTTTTGACTATATTCTTGAAGCTATCAAGGGCGATTTAGAGTCTGTATTCAGTTCGTTTTTAATTTCTTCCCATAACTGGTTAATTATTCTTCTATTTTTATGGTTCACATCTTTGCTGTTCCATATCGGTGTTCTCTCAAAAATTGCTGAAATAATTTGCTCTTGCACGTCCGAGGACATTTCGAAACGTCACAGAAATTAATTGCACAACACTACAATGCAGGCGCGCGCGCGGTCTCCGCTTGACTGGAGTACACCGCTCATTGCCCGCCCCCCGCGCCGCTGCCAAGCCGCTGTTTTCGAGAGTCGGTCCATTTGATTTTACGCATAAGATCCTGCCGCTCCCGCGCCGCCGCCGCTGCCGTCCCGCTGCCCGCAAGATTCGAGGCAGAGGCCTGAGTGCGAGTGCCAGAAGCTACCATACTGTTACTGTTACCTGCTGTTACCCATACAGTATTTAAATTGCACGTGAAATAATTACTTCTAATTTTAATGTTGTGTATTAATAAATTTATGTTGTGTCCGCGTATTATATTCCGAAAATGCTTCAGTACCATAGACCACATACATACCCTGCGGCAGATTGTACAGAAGACCGAAGAGTACAATCTGCCACTTTGCCTGGCGGATGTGGACTATGAGAAAACCTTTGATTCCGTCGAAATTTGGGCGGTGCTACAGTCCCTTCAGCGGTGCCAAGTTGACTGTCGGTATATCGAAGTGCTGAAGTGTTTGTACAGTAGAGCTACGATGGCTATCCGAGTACAGAACCAGAGTTCGAAACCTATCCAACTGCAGAGAGGTGTAAGACAGGGTGACGTTATATCCCCGAAACTCTTCACCGCTGCGTTAGAAGACGTTTTCAAGCTACTGGACTGGAAAGCATACGGTATTAACATCAATGGCGAGTACATCACTCACCTTCGATTTGCCGACGATATAGTCCTTATGGCAGAATCGCTGGAGGACCTTAGCACTATGCTCAATGACCTCAATGGTGTCTCCCAACGGATAGGTCTTAAGATGAACATGAACAAAACAAAAATCATGTTCAATGTCCATGTCACACCTATGCCGCTAGTTGTTGGGAGCACTATGCTCGAAGTTGTTGACGAGTACGTTTACCTGGGACAAATAGTCCGACTAGGTAAGTCCAACTTCGACCGAGAGGTCAATCGACGGATTCAACTCGGCTGGGCAGCGTTCGGGAAATTACGACACATCTTCTCGTCAGGTATACCTCAATCTCTGAAAACTAAAGTGTACAACCAGTGCGTGTTGCCAGTGATGACTTACGGATCGGAGACGTGGTTCTTCACTGCTGGCCGTATGAGGACGCTCAAGGTCGCTCAGCGAGCTGTGGAGAGGGCTATGCTCGGAGTTTCTCTGCGTGATAGACTCAGAAATGAGGATATCCGCAGTAAAACCAGAGTGACCGACATAGCCCAACGGATTAGTAAGCTGAAGCAATGGGCCCTATAGCTCGAAGAACCGATAACCGATGGGGAAGAAAGGTTCTCGAGTGGCAGCCTCGTACCGGTAGGCGTAGTGTAGGGCGACCCCCCACTAGATGGAGTGACGACCTGGTAAGACATGCAGGAAGTCGGTGGATGCAGGTGGCTCAGGACCGTGCTTTGTGGCATTACTTGGAGGAGGCCTATGTTCAGCAGTGGACTTGTGAAGGGCTGTAATGATGATAATGATGACTCGTATTATATATTTACCTCTGGAGCCATATAATCTGGCGTGCCGCAGAATGTGTCAGCTGTTTTGTCCAAATAAATCTGCAACTTGCACATACCGAAGTCCGCGATGCGGACATGGCCATCGAAATCTAGTAAAATGTTGTCCAGCTTCAAGTCCCTAAAAGTTAATAGAAAAATTATAATTAAATTGCATTTGGTTGACTCTTGTATGTGTGGAAAGTGTGGGTCAAACTGACAATAGTTATGATAGAAGAACTTCTTTGACGTAAGTAATATAGGAAAAGCTTCGTAACGGCATAGTGACTACTCATTAAAAAAAGTTATAGTGAAGTTACTGCCTATATGCGTCCCAATGCTGGATATACGCCTCCTCGCATTTTGAGGGTAAACCAACTCGCATTTTGAGAGTAAATAACCAAATAGCCGTCGCGCTGCTCGAGTGGACCGCCATGACGTCACGTGTCCTCATAATATTTAATCCTCGGACATGCAGGTTTTCCTGATGTTGTTTTTCTTCATAGTAAGCATGTGGTAACCGCCGTCGGTCTGACACTTTATGAACGGTCACCTTATGATTGAAGCTTTCTGACACTTTTAAATTAAAATTAAAATGGGTCGATAGATTCTACTTACGCCCAAAAACCTATTGATATTGCCAGTATAATATACGGAATATGATACGGAATATAGAAAAATGTAATTACGACTACATTATAGTCATTATCGCTCACCTACGAACCAAGTTAGGTTGATTGTGCGTTGTCAGCACTCATTTTCTTTGTAGAATAAGGGCGACAAACGAGCACGCAGTCCACCTGATGGTAAGTGGAGGCTGTGGCCCATAGACATCTACATTTATCCTCGATTAAGAATCAATACGCAGATGCGTTGTCACCCTGATGACTAAGATGGAATGCCTCGTTTCCAGTAATAAAGGGTCTCCGAATCTTTACACATCTTTACACCATACGAACAGCAGTATTAAGCTGCCATTTTACGCTGGTATTCTGTGAGAGCGTGGTCCCTCCGCGGTCGAGCCGACGCATTCGTACCACAACCATAATATATCTGCAGCGTGGCTCTACCACGTAAAACTCGCTTGGCAGATGTGTACGCAAATACAGTGCTAGACGATTTTCATGAAAAATCTAACTCCAGTCGTTAATTTATTATAGCTTAACAAAAATCAATAACACAGGCCACCCCGTGGTTTGCCTCATAAGGGGGAAGTTGACGTAGTTGAAACGCTTGGTAGACGGGATGGTATCCTCCCTAGGAAACAATCTATGGGGGGGGTTGCCTACTCGTATGTTCAGCAGTGGACTTAGCTGTAACGGTAACGGATTATGTAAGTATAAAAGTGGTATTCTTCACATTCAGAATAATAGAAGATACGTTTGCAATTCAAATCAATAATTACCTATATATGATGCCGCGTTTGTGTAGGAACTTCAGTCCGGAAACTATTTCAGCTGCGTAAAATCTAGCTCGAGGTTCTGGGAACCGTCCACTTTGTTGTATATGGAACATCAAGTCTCCGCCGTTCAGGTACTCCATCACGAAGAACAAATGAGACTGGAAAGAGGAAATGCTTGTTAGGATTTTTTAAATACAATAACATAATGGTTTTAACAAAAACACAAAATTATTTTCTACGTTTCAATGTAATGACATGTAGGGTACATTTCTAAGCAAATGTTTTCGCTGCACTTGTATAATGTTCGCATAACATTTATAATTCGTTCTTTGTGACTTATAAGTGTAATTTTTTTTTGTTTGGTTAACACTCTATTTTCCTATGATATTAACAGAATTTCTTTTTACTATTAAGATTGTATTAATTACTTACATCAGTCTGGAAAGTTGCAAATAAATGACAGAGGTAGGGATGATTAGTTCCTAACGCAAGAACTTTTCTCTCAATCAGCGTACACTCGACATCATCATCTTCCAGGACAACGTCCTTTTTCAAACATTTCACAGCATAGTAATACTCTGTATCCCTCAACTCCGCAAGTAGCACCTGAAACATATTTAAATATCATAAAAGTTACATTGACTAATTATAAGACACGAACAAAATGAATCTTATGCAGTTTCTAATACATTATGTAAATAATGAATTACGACGACATTAAAAGCATGTCGGACTAGATGTTCAATTTGATTATAATAAATAATATTAGTCTATCTGCGTCTTACTACTGGGTACAAGCCAGTTTTTGTTTATTTAATTGACTGTATGATATAAGGGTGGGACTATCTAATACAGATTTCGAAGCTATGATAAAACATGAAGCATCGTAATACGAAACTTATGTGACAACGAATTATACCTAATTGTAAATATTTAGATAAAAAAAATATTTTTTGTTTATGTTGAGAGAATCGTATTTTTCTTTTTCTTTCATGTCTATTTTGCTTTTTATCTTAAAAAGGATTTCGTTTGTGTCTAACAGTTCAAATAAAAATAGTTTACAGAAATTAGATACAAATAACTAAGCTAAAGAGTACTGAATTAACAAAGTACCTATGGTAAAGTATCCTTGCTTTACCATACTTTGTTAGTGAAGTGGAAGTGAAGTTGCGTAAGTACTACATCAAAGTACTGATCTAATAAAAATATTTTCGCCTCACACAAAAACAAAGGAAATATTTTTTTTAGCATAAAAATTATGTTTAAAGAATTCCAGGTCTTGTACTGTAATATTTGTTTTGATAAATATCATAGTATATAATACAGGAACCTAGTTTTTATTTTATAATTTGCATACCGATATTATTATTGCTTTCTTCGTATTCTTGGCCCGGCGTCAAAGGCAATTGGGCCAAACGGGCGCAACCAGGAAGACGTTCCTTATTCGAGCCACGTTACGTGTAGATGTTAATTTCGAATGCGATTAAGAAATTTGTGGGTTAACGTTATCATTGATTAATTTAAAAATATTTTTTGTCCGCGGTTAAACTTTGCATTATTAACAAAACAAATCACTTCGAAATAGAAACACTTTTTTATTCAATATAGATTATAAATACATGATACCTATCTATTGAAAGGCACTTTTTAATTTATTAAACACAATATTACATTATAATGTTACTTTACTAATCCAGTCATAATAAACTATTATCTAGTGATATTTACCCGTATACCATAAAGGCATACCACAAAACCTCAGAACTAGACTGTACAACCAGTAGGTACGTGTTGCCAGTGATGACTTAGGATCTGAGACGTGGTCCTTCACTGCTGGCCGTATGAGGTGATCAAGACGCTCAGCGAGCTACGGAGAGGGCTATGCTCTGAGTTTCTCTGCGTGATAAACTTAGAAATGAGGATAACCAGAGTGACCGACATAACCCAACGGATTAGTAAGCTGAAGTGGCAATGTGCCGGCGGCTCGAATAACCAATAACCAATGACGAAAAAAGGTTCTTGAATGGCAGCCCCGTACCGGCAGGCGAGGTAAAAGGCCTCCCCTCACTAGATGGAGTGACGACCTGGTAAGACATGCAGGAAGTCGATGGATGCAGGTGGCTCAGGACCGTGCTTTGTGGCATTCCTTGGGGGAGCCTATGTTCAGCAATAGACTTGTGAAGGGCTGTAATGAAGATATTGAATGATATGATGTGCTCGTATGGTTAGTAATATTAGTTAGTTTTTGTGTTTATTGGCCAGGCTGGTATTTTTTTAGATGACTTGCTAATTCTATTGTCTTAGAAAAAGAAATAGTGTTATTAAAATGATTTTTAGTAGTGTACGAATTCTTTTAACTTATTCCACCGCTGTGCACCTTTGTAACCACTGTTGTGCTCCAGCTTGAAGGACAGCAAAGCCGGTTTACTTTGTCTTGTCTATATTATGTACTATTCGTCTGTAGACTTAAACTTCTTATTTGAAATTGGTTGCAGGTGTTCAATGTTAGCGCGTTTGTAAATCCAATATTACCTATTTTAAAAGGGTTTTTGTTAACTTTAACAGTACCTATGTAATTTTGACCAGTATGCCATGTCCTCCCTCATCTCAACCGTGTTACAATAACAATACGTCCTGAATTGTAATATATACGCAATACGATACGAACCAAAGTTCCGCAGTTCAGAAGTTATGAATGCTGACAATGTGCCAGGCATGGCCTTGCAACACAGTGATTGAAACAAGTTCTCGTTACTTATTACACAATGGTTCGTAAATTTCTCCACTGTTCTAAATAAATCCTAATAGCCTGGTCTAAAAATAACGAGTAGTTAAATGACGCGCGCTACTTATTCCCTACCTTTACTTATAACTTTACCCTTCCTTTTTAGTAAACGACTGCCCATCTAAAATTCTGGATCATCATGGGATAATGGGATAATTACATATATAAATTCTCTTTAGTCTACTCGGTACAGTGAGCAGTTACACTAAACTGCTTACAGTTTTCTGCGTGTTAGAGCCACGCTGCAGCTATATTATGGTTGTAGCACGAACGGGTCAGCGCGCGTTGCGACCAAGAGGAACTACCAAAAGAGACAAAACACAAAAAACGAAACAAAAAAAAAAAAAAAAAAAAACCCCAGAAGGACCACGCTCTCACAGAATACCAGCGTAAAATAGCAGCTTAATGCTGCCGTATTTCGTATGGTGAGTGTGGAGAACCGGAGACGAGTTTTACTGGAAATGAGGCATTCCATCTTAGTCCTCAGGGGTGACTACGCATCTGCATTTTGATTCTTAATCGAGGTTTAATTTAGATGTCTATGGGCCACAGCATCCACTTACCACTAGGGGGTACCGTGTGCTCTTTTAAAAAAAGTCGTTCGAAGCAATTGAATCTGTCAATCAACACTTACCTCGATAACAGATATTTTTTAATATAGTTCAAATAATTAATGGCTTTCTTATTTTTTTTTTCAAATTGTATACGATTTGAAAAAAAAATGAAAGCCATTCTAGTCACCAAAGTCATCTTTAAATTATCAAGAAATTTCATCTTAATTACCTACAAGGTTTTTTTGTATAAGACAAAGAAACAATTTGTAAGTAATGCTCACATTTGTGTCTCAATTGAAAACATTCAAATTCACATTTTAAGCGCCAAGTCGTCAACAGACTTTAAATCTTTTGTTAGCTCATAAAGAGCAATATTTTACCCAACGGCATCAGATTTGGGTTAACATTTATTATCGCATAAAGAGATTCTTGTTTTTTTTTAATGCTTATTAGGAGTTCATGTGTGTTTACGTTTCACATCAGAGAAATGATATAATAAGAAATTAGGGCAAAAAATCTTTTTACTTCGTATGCCCCGTATGCCACGTCCACCCTAATGCTACGTAATTTTAAAAAAAAATGATGGCAAAGAATAATTACGAAAGCATAAAGGTTTTTAGAATTATTCGATGACCTAATTAATCTAAACACTATGTTTGTTTATTAAGAATAAAGTAATACTGACAGTAAGCAACCATCTTCAAACAAAGAAGGTTATTTTTTATCGAAGAGCCGCATGCTCGTATACGCCATAAGAGCATGCGGCTCACCTGGTGGTAAGTGTCGACCGCCGCCCATGAATACCTGCAACACCAGGAGAATTGCAGGTGCGTTGCCAACCGTGTCTTGGAGGTGCTTTAATCGTATCGGTCGGTATCGGTACTATACTTCTTTTTAAGAGCGCTGGTGTCTACATCCTGGGAGGTCGATGAATAAGCCTGGGCGTGGTAGCACTCCTGATTATGGCATGATGAAATTTTATAGAAGTGACCAAGCCATGGCTGGAATCGGTCTCCGATGGGCACTACAGAAGATGGAATAAAAAGTTCCATTCCCTGAAGTACCACATCAGCGACAGAATCAGCAACAACGTTGGGATTATCCGGCGAGAAGTAGAGTTGTGTCAGATCATATGCTAAGGCAAAGTCACAAACAGGTCTCTCCGTATGATTAGTTAAAGGTGAACCGAGCCATTCGGCATGGTGTGCGTTAAAATCATCAAAGATCTCGATGTCCGCGGAAGGAATCTGTTGTACCATTTATTATTGTTATATTCTTTCATGCGCTCAACTATATAGCGGTGAGCGCGTAGCACTCAGCGACTATACATACTTGGAGCAATAGAAATCGAGATAATCTCAAAAAACTGTTTTTTTTTCCTTTCACCTTGAATAAATTATGACGCAGACACGAGATTTTATGAGACTTTTGAGACAACTTTTTTAGAAAGCCAAATTGAAGACGAAAATTTAGCTCATTATCTCTCATTCCGATGTTGAGCGCCTTCTTATGCTAAAGTGACTGGACTAACCCTGTAAGCACAGTAGTGGGTGCACTGCTGTTTGGCGGTGGAAACAGGTACGAGGTTAGTTCCAAGCACCGACGTGGATTAGATTCCTGGGCAGTAAAGCAGCCCCAACACCTGGTATCTTTTGTAGATTAATAAATTTTTATCTTCCCAGTGGGAAGTTATTGTAATGGGTCCGATTTTGCAAATTGGAAATTTTAACATATCGCCACGTTTCAAGGTCTTTAGAGTCGAATAGTATGGTTTTTAAGAGGATGTCCGTGTGGGCACATGTACGTATCTATTTATGCACGTATGTTCGGATTCACTTTTCGCCTCATGTATCTCGAGAACAAAGAGTGATATTGACATGGGACCAGTTTCATTTAACGCATAATTATGTAACTTGGACCTCATTAAATTTTGAGCAAAATGGATAAAGTCGTTTTTTGTGCTGAATGAAAAATTGTATATAATAAGAAAACATGATATTTTTTTAATCTTTCCACTGGGAAGTTAGTAGTGTGGACCTTTCGGGTCGCACCTATACCGCTTATATTTCATAAGATATATATTATTTATTTTGACGACTCATAATAATAATTTATCTCATATTAATAGCTCATATTAATAATCCGAGTACGAATGTGTTTTTAAATAGGGAAGAACTGAGTCCTGTTGAGTCCTCCGTTTTTCTTGGCATCTCTCTCGACGCTAAGCTTCAGTGGGGCCCCCATATATCTCAACTAGCAAGCAAACT